TATATATATATATATATATATATATATACAGGGCCGGTACTGGGGTCCTCAGTGCCCGCATGCAAGATTTGTTCTAGCGCCCCCCTCCCCAATAATTTTGTTTTAACATTTATCATTAAAATTATATGAATATTTACATGAATTCACACAAAAAATTAGAAATAATCTAAAAGTGTATAAAAAACATTGATTTTAATTTTATTTAGAAAATCGAAGCGATTTGCGGGTTGACCATAATTAAATATTTTATATTTTCAACTATTTCTAACATATATGTAATATTAATATTTGGGTTTTGTTTTATATTATATATATATATATATATATATATATATATATATATATATATTACAAAAAAACTTACATGTTTTGGTATTTATTATCATAGAAAGTCTTTATTAAACTTACTGCGAATATCCTTCCCATTTTAATAAGTATTCATGCTGTTTTCTCCGAGGATTGAATCTTTTAGCAAGTATCTTTTCTACAGTATATTCACCTGTAGGAAGTCCTCGATCAGCATCATTAGCTTTACAAGTTCGTAACGCAAGTCTCATATTTGAATCTTTAAGGTCTCCTATAGAATCTTTCTGCAACATATTCAAGTGAATTCATGCAAATTATAAATTTATTATTAACCAAAACATTTATTTATTCAATATCAAATTTTTGGTGTAAAATTCAGTTCAATGAGTTGGTATTTTGTATTATGTATCTAGGAACTTAAATTAAGATATAAAAAATGCAAGTATCTCTGATAGAAGAAAGAAATAAAAATAATTATTTAGAATTATCAGATATTATCCAAATATTTCTGATTTAAAAATTAATTCGATTGAATATTAATACATTTGATTAATATCAAATTTCTTACCTTGATTGTTTTTATTTCTACAGCGGGTAAGTTGGGAACTGTGGTAGAAACCTTATTTTCTTTATCTGATTCTTTTCTAGTATTCACTGATTTGCTACTTTTATCTTCGTCTGACTCCACCTCACTTTCAGCTGACCAATCTTTGTCTTCATCCTATTGAATATATAAATATATACATATACATATACACATATATATATATATATATATATATAATTTCCATCAAAATATATAGAAATTACCTTTTTATTGTTTGTTTGTAAAGTTTTTACTTCAATTCCTCTCATAGCTAGATCATTCACTAAAGCATTCTTTGAACCTACTTATAAATTGAAGGGATTACAAGAGTATGTCATACAATGTCAACATCATATACCTATACAAATTTAGCACCTTTTAATCCTTGTTTTTTATCATTGAGATTAGAATTTATTTTATTTGATTTATTAGGAAGTTCCTGTACTCCACCATGACCCATCTGCAACATATCATTCAATTAATAATACAAACTACAATAATAATATATACATATGCCTAATTATAATATATATTATTGCATAATTGTAATACATATATATATATATATATATATATATATATATATATGCATATAATTTGTAATATAAATATAAATAATAAAGATATATGATATATAATAATTTCTACAATTTTATTGATATATTGCACTGGTTGTATTCCTTCACATATTTCAACATCAAAATTATTTATATATATATATATATATATATATTATATATATATATATATTATATTATATATATATATATTATATATATTATATATATATATTATATATATTATATATATATATATGTATAAACTGAAGTAAAACAATAACCTTTGCAAAAGTTTGAACATTTTTTCCAGCAACTATCCAGGTTTCACGCAACTCAGAATCCATTTTGATCCATTCTTGATAAAGTTGCCAACTATTTATTGATGTAGAATCGTAACCAACCTGGGCTCCTTTCCATAAAAGGAAAGCCCACACTTTGGCTTTCACTTCTCGCTAAAAGGGCATATATAATATTAACTGACTGAATAGGCTAACTATGACAAATTCAGACTTACACAATCTTTTAAATGAGATTCTTCTGAACATGATTTTTCCTTATGAGAAGAAAAGTCTTCTATAAAATGGAACACAGCATGACACCCGCCACATACTAAAACATCTTGTTTAATAATTTCTTTTTGTGCTCCTAAAATTTGGGGTATGTTTTATTTACATGTAGTGGGTAATTAAAACTTGAAAGGTTACCTTTTATAATTTCTGGATGTTGGCTTATTTCATTTGCATCTATTTGTGCAGTTTCCATTATATTATGTTAATATCTGCAAATTTATAATATAAAAAATATCAAAATTGGCGCCGAAAAGTTTAATCAGTTCATAGGGTTGTCAAAATTAAAAATTTAAGAAAAGGTTCATCCATAAAGCATTTTGAAGCTGTTTATAATAATTGTCCAAGTAATAAATAATCCAATATTTACATTACATACATATACAAATTATCAAAATGGCTTGTCTTTGTCGACATACAAATCCGTTTACATAGCCACGATTATATCCCGCCAAAAATCTTCATTTGCATTTATTTTGAAATTTGTATGTATAATCACTAATAAAAGATTCTAGAGTATCCTTATCACAAAAAGCACTATAAATTAGTTTCTATACGAAAAAATTCATTAAAACGACACACTGGAACATCAACGCTACGGTTTTAGCTTTTTTCGTCTATCGGCGCAGCATTAGACCCTCTTTAGATACAGCCAATCACAGGCCAGTTTTGTTTATATTTACCATTCATGACCAATGGCAACACGTAAATGAAAAAAGAACCAAATTTTCACCGCTGTAAGAAAGAAGCTATATCTCGATGGCCAGTTTAGTACAGTATTAATCCAAGACAATATGATAGTTGATAATAATATAGTACTGTTATTGGTATTAATATAATATTGATGGTATTAATCCTGAAGAATATAATAATAGTACTAATATTGAGTTTTACAATAAATTTTTGATTAATGTACGTTTGAACCCTCCAAATAAAATATTATTATATTGTCTAGGAAATAAAACTATCTTTGTTTAATTAATTATATGCTCATATATAAGATCCTAGACAATATAATAATGTATGATATGGTGTTGATTAAATACTTTGATAATACAATTGTATTGTACGTTTATATATGTTTACATTGTAAAGATCATTGATTAATTATATTTTATTGATGCGAGGTAATTATAGTAAAATTGTAAAAGATGTCAAATATGCAATTAAAAATGTAATTATCAAAATTAATAACACAGTATAAAGTATTTTAATAATTAAATATGTAAGCTACTTTAAGATTAAATTTGTCTTTATGCAATGACTTCTAATATATTGTTTAAACTCTGTTTTAGCTTCTGCTCCATTTTTAAATGATCTAGTGTTTGTCTGCGCTGCAGATCGTGCACATCATTGTGCTTTGATTCTTCTGTAAATTCCTGGACATGTACCATTTCCTTTAAGAAATTATTTTCCTGTAAGAGATGAATACATAAATACATACATATATGCATAAAATATGTGTGTGTGTGTAAAATACCGCAACATTCTGCTCATTAGTTTCTGAAGGATTGTAAATTGCTGGACTCAACTTCTTTATTAAATCGGTCTCAAAATTGTTTTCCACTTCTTTATTGCTGTATTGTGTATCTTGTGGTATGCTTTGAGCATTTGGCAGAATGCCTCGATTTCTTATTTCTAGCATTTTCAAATTTAATATTTCGTCAGGTATAAATTGAGCTGAAGATTTTGCCATTGTTTCCTCAGATTCAATATTTGAAGATCTTTTAAATTTATTGTTTAATAAATTATACATTGGAGGCATGAATTTATTTGATGTTGTGGAGACACCAGCACTTTTATCCATATCCAGTGCACTAAACGAGTCTGCGTTCAAATGTGATACCAGATCAACCTAATGAATTAGTTTTAATTATGCTACATTACTGCTATTATGTTATATATATATATATATATATATAAATAGAATTTTTTGTTGCAAAAATATTGTTCCAAATAAACTTTGTCAATATGCAATTATTGATATTGCTTAATAATGATAATACTATAAATAAAATATATATTATACCTTCGTATTGTTCATTAGACTCATATCTAAAAGAGGAAAATGGTCCAATGATGTCGATGAAATTGACACAGTAGAATCTTCTATCATATCAATGTTAGCGGGCACTGTTGCTAGAAAAAAGTCAAATTCTTGCAACCCCCTGTAATGACATTTTATGTAACACATTGTATCAATCACTTTTTTTATATGCATTTATATACATGTCATTTTTTAAATATCGCATTTCCACTACATTTATACATATTATTAAAACAATCTTGAACATTGTGTATTTTAAAATCTAAATTTACCACTGCAAAAATAATTTTGTCTGACAAAAATGTTCAATACTGAAAGCAAAGCAAAAACAAAGAAACAAGTGAAAATAAATTTACATGATAAAAAAAACTTTTGTTTCACATTTTATTGACTATAATATTTTTGTCAGGAAACAAATTAGATTCAATTTTTTACATTCCTGAAACATTGCATCTAATCCATAAATTATAAGTATTGTGACAATTTCATATATATTAAGAAAGACATCAGAAATAGTATTTTATCGTTTAATAGTATTTTATCAACTACCTTGTAGATAATGTTTATGCTATAAATTGCATTATTATATTGCATATTGAAATAAAAATGCAATCTAAACTGTCCACATCAATTTTAGTTACAAAAAAAAATATCAATGCTTTGCAATATAAATATTTAAAGTATATAATATAAACTACTCCTTGTAAGTAAATATAATATTTTACTACCATATATGCTACCATCTTACATAAATAAAAGAAACTTAAAAATTAGGCTGTAGTTTCCATTTTAATGGTTACAGAATCTGTTTTCTCATTTTCTTTCTTAACCATTTTTCCATCACCTGCAAAATAGATTTAAATGATGTTTTTATAATATAAATAAAAAATAAATAAATTATTAGTTTGTTGAACTTTACAATGAAATATAAAATTACCTTCAGCATCTGTGGGTTCTGTTCCTGATCGCCTGCGTTTTCTTGTAAATCGCCAAACTCTTTGGTTTTTAGTGACAGGAATAGGATCCATTCCTAATATTTTATGAATTTGTCTGAAAGCTAGTTGACGCAGATATTGTTGTGCTGACACTGTAAGGTCTTCACGCTGTTGACTTGATAAATTTCCTACAGCGTCCTGCGATTCTTTCTCGCAGGGATCTAAAATACCAGGACCATTTAAAAGAATTCCTCCAGCTAGACACTCCAAAATGCGGCGCAGACATTCACCAGGGCTCAAAGGCATTCCAGCAGATTGCAAAACTTTTTCAGCTAGCAGCTCCATAGCCTGTAATACACAGTAAATATTGTATTTCCTAAATTACATTTTGTAAAATAAAATATCAAATATGATTACCCATGAATTCAGTGGTGCCCATGTTGGTATCCTCTGGCAAAGATCTCTTAGGATACGAATTACTATCACACAGCTATGAAGTGGTGTTGCTCTAGCCTATGAATATTTAATGATGTATACATATTTGATATGATTCAAGCCGTTTAGTAAACATGCTAATTATATGAAGCAAAAATTACAATTATTAGGCAAGCATAACAATATCAAAAAAAATTCTCGTTCAATGTAAAAATTGAAACAAGAATTTTTTAGTTCTAACATAAAGTTCAAAAAATGAGAATTCACACTTACTCCCTTGATTAACAGTTCACACATAGTGAAACGCATTCTATAAAATATAAATATAAAAACTCAATATAAATGAGTGATTTTTAGTTTAGAAGATCCATAGTTAATCTCCAAAAGTTAAGTTAAGATCCAAAGTTATTTAAAAGATTTGATGAAAATCAAACAATTTATTTTTTCATAAATTGATGCAAGGAATAAACGTGATATTCACATTTTTAATAATGCTCTCGGTGTTCAAGAATTTGTTGACCTCCATACACTCCTCAACAATAAAAATCTATGAATAAAAGATATTACTTTAAAGATTCGAGAACCTTTTATGCAAGAGCAGGAAATGAAACAAACAGATTATTTGTAAAAAGAGGAGTGCAAGTACATCAGACAAATGTACCAAATTCTTAATGTGGACTTTAATATGAATATGATATAATAGGTAAAGCTTTGTATAGCTTTGAACATCTTAATATCTACTGAGGGCATTAAATTGAAGTGTTCAACATAAATATAAATATATAGATATATAGGTCAAATACAATAAAAAATCCGAAATCTCTGGCTGGATAAACATGATAATTGGAACAAACCTGGAACCATTTGGCATGACGAAGAGCTGCTAAAGCATCTAAACATTTTTGTCTCGGCAGTAAATCAGCAGGGCTATTGTCATTAGAAGCCATAGTTGGTCCTGCATTAGCTTGATTCGAAGCTCCATCTCCGGATTGTGATACTGTTTTCCCATCTGCTGTGGGAAGGGTGTTTGACCATGCCATCATAGCGGAACCATATATATTATTATATTGTATCAATAAGTAATTTTATGTGAGTCCTAACTTTCCACTTTTGGTTAACAATTGTGTAATGGTAAGTTTATTGTAGAAAATATAATGAAATTTATTGATTGATCGCATTCGCAGTAAGCTTTGTCTATACAAAATAACATCTGATGATTCAAACTAAACATTTTTCATAACCAATAAAAAATAAACAAATATATAATCTACAAATAACCCTTCCACTGTAATATAAGAGCCTGTGCTATGGTTCCACTATCACGCAGTATAGCCCAGTTAAGTCCCAAAAACTACATTAGATACTTATAAGAAAAACAAAAAAAATCTGTATTTTTTATAAGCTCAATTGTAACAAAGCTATACATGGTCAAAAATCCTTTTTATTCTCTTGTCAATGAGAATGTTTTCGGATTCATATTCGACCTACTGCTTCCACATATGTGAAACGCTTTTTTTTTATTCATAAGGTATTCAGAAATTATTACAAGATAAAGATATTTGGCCAAAATTTAAAGTAAATAAAATATTCATTTTGCATGTTTATGACCAAACAATCTGGTTTAAAGCAATAACTTCCAAATACCCAAACGATCTAGGATTTATATTACTAAAGTATCGGACAGTTTGTGGAGAATTTCCATTATAGTGTTGAAAATAGTCCAATACCTTCAGTAGAATCATTGGTAATATTATACCTGACCATAAAATCCGAATTCGATCAACCAATTTCCAGATAAATTTTACAAAAAACTTACAATAGGTAAGCCCTATCAGAAAATGTACAAAAACGATATATATGAACAAAAATATAAAATATGAAGAATAAATGCTGTGGAATGCACTAAATATTAACTGAAATTGGTATTTCGAAATCGTAGTACATTTAAAATAAGCTAAATTACCTTGTTCACGCATTAAGGGCGATGTCAATGATACCAGAACAGTTATATTGCCATCAGAAATGGTGATTCCAGCTTCAATAGGTACTAAACTCACTTTGTATTTATGCTCCTCTGATACCTGTAAAAAATAATTGATTTGAGATTAATTAAATATATATTAAATTAGAAATTTCTATTTAACCACTCAATATATTTGTTGAATATATATATAGTCTGGAAACTGAGGTGCTATTCAACCTTATTTTTTAATTAGCATATGCTCTTTCTATAGTAGTATGAAATTCTATGAAGACTTTCTTTTGTAAAAGGTGGCAATCCAAGCACCCCTTTTTCCAGCAGCTGTGTGTGTGTGTGTGCGTATGTATATATATATATATATATATATATATATATATATATATATATATATATATGTACACATACATACAGTGTTATGTTGCTATTATTAAGTTCGACATAACCAGACAAAACATCAATTTCATTTACCTTGTTTTTTTTTAAGAAGTTTTTTAGAATATACCTATAATATTCAGCATTCTAATGTACTTTTATCATTGCATTTAATTATTTATTCCAAATTTATTGATTTTTAAATTTAGTAATAATTTAACTCAAAACCTAAGATGTTAAGGGGCAGTACCTTTTTCAATTGTATTGGCAATTCCTGGAATACTTTCTTCAATAATGTGCTGGTGGGCTTCTCAGCACAAAGCACTACTAATTGCACATTATTATCGCCTTGCAATAGTAAACCCTTAGCAAGTAGACCTACTCGCATTACTCCTTTTAGAACACGTACTGCAGATGTGTCAGCATCACGATGGAAAGAGAACCTAAGCATTTAAAATTTTCAACAAATTAATTGAATATATATATATATATATATATATATATATATATATATATATATAATTAATTCTTAATTTTAACCAAACCAAAATTTGAATGAGACTATTTCTCTAAAGTTATAATTAAGTTAATTGTCATTGCATAATACAAGTTTTAATTTGTGATGTGCAATAACCTTGTGTCAGACTATACTACACATTATTTAGATAACTAATTATATTTTGAATGAGTTAATTTAATTTATTGCAATTATAAAAACATTTTTATTATTGTACTTGATATGCTGAAGAAAAAAAACAGGCTGAGTATTTGCCAGATAATATGAAAATCCCAAATAAACGTGTAACTCAAATTTCATAATTCTAGCAAAAAAATATAAACATGATATTTATGAAATAAAATGCATATTTAACAGAGAAAGCACATACAATTGATTATCTCTTCCATCTTCCTTTGAATCTTTTTTATCACCATCTTTTTTGGAATCTGGTTCTTTGTCGACAGTCGATTTGTTATTATCAGCATTTGTTTTTGGAGGTTCAGTTGTTGTAGGAATAGATTTATTTGCAGCAGCAGCAGCAGCAGGCTTTGTAGATGTATGAGAATTTCTAGCAGCACTGTTCCTCAGTGATTGGTCTGCTAAAGCATCAGAAACAAATTTTAATGCGCGTTCTGTGTGAGAAACAATCCTTTGAATAACCTGCAATTGAAAATTTTAATTTGTATTAAATTGTATTAAAAAATATGTAAATATAGTGCAAAGTTGCCTATAACATCAGAAAACATACTTGCAATTCTTCTTCTTTAGGATAAATCTCAGCATGCTTTGCTAAAACATGCTTGTCGTCAGAGCTATCAGGTCTTCGCGGTCCTTGCTGTGTCATGCCAAAGAAGGGAGGTATTGGACCCATAGGACCTGGACGTCCCATCATGGGCGGTCTTGGAGGACCAGGGAATGGTGCTCCAGGACCTCTTCTGCACCATTCCAAATAATCACATTCATCTTCATAACGCCTTCTTTCCTCCCAATATAGTCCTGAAATTTTATAATGGATTTACTTTTTCTTATTCATGATTGTAAAAAAGAAATATAATTCTATTCTAAAAAAATTAATGTAAAAGGAATTTTGCAGCATAATTGAGAAGATATTGCATGGTATCACATTGCATAAAACTCAATTTTGCTGAATAATTTCTTGTCCCTAATTTTACTGATTTTATTTATATCCTCACTCTCTTCTTCCTCCATTTCAGATTCAGCCATTCTCCTACGAGCCCAAAACTCTTCACGCATGGCTGCCCTTTGTACTTTTGCCTCTTGGAGCTTGCGTTGCCTCAATGAGGGCTTGACATCTACTACTAAATCAGGCTGAACTTTTTTCTTGTATTGCAGTCTATGACGACGTCCTTTCATGTGCATTTCCTTAGCATTTGGATCATTAAAACGACAATCACATAGCTTGCAATTGAAGCTTAACACCTATAATTTATGTATATATATATTACAAATTTGAAATCATAAGATAGTATTATTAAAGCGATCATACGTCCCGGATTGGCCGGGACAGTCCCGATTTTCCGCCATGCGTCCCGGTTTTTTCTAAAAGCAATATTTGTTCCGGTTTTAGGTGTTTTGTCCCGGATTTTTAGAAATGTTGATTGCCAATATATTTTCAAATATATTTCAACTAGAAAATTTGAACTCAAAAAATGCGCATGTAAGTTTTTAGCTCACCCCCCGCTTTCACATACATTCTAATCCGTCCCGGATTTAATGCAAAAAATATGGTCACCTTAGTATTATGTACTTCATGAAATTAATAGAAATGTGAAAAGATTAAAAAAACATGTAGCAAAATTCAATATAAATGTATATAAGTAAATCTAATAGACAAATTATAGTTAAAATTGCTTGGACTATTCATAGGCTTATCTATCTTTTTTATTTTAAATTCATCATTTTAATTTTATTACAATATTTAAGCTACTACTTAGACTTTCCATTTGATATATTAAGATAAAGATTTTAGATGTTTCAAGCTCATTTATGTATAGAAAAAAACATTTGTCTACATAGATAAGTATGTATTGCTTAACCTTGTGTAATTAAAAAAATTAGTTCGAATGTGAATCTTGGCTTAAATTTGGTGTTGAACAATGTACTTTAATGAATTGAATTTTAGTAACTGAAGAAAAAATAGAGAGCACAAAACAACTGAAAAATGTAATGTAAATCAAACCTTTCCATCATCCCCTTTCATCTCTTCGATATAATCCTGGCCAACTGGTTGAATATCAGGTTCCATATCTGTCTCCATTTCAGCAGCATTTTCTTCAGTTGTTCCAGATGGTGAGCTGGAACTAGTTGCTCCCAAGCCACCTAGATATGGATAACCAAGAATTCAGTGAAATGATACCAAAATGGATTTAATAAAATTATACACAACAATAACCAATATAAATTAAATAAATGCATATGAACTATACATTTGGATATGAAAAATGTAAGAATTTATAATTACAATCTATAGTCAATAAAATTAGATTAGCCATCAATCAGAAAAAGATGAATGCACTAAAAACCAAATATATTTGAAAAAAAAAAATCTAATATTTAATTTCTAGAAGTTTTTTTTCGCGAAAAAAATCGATTTGCTTATTTTATGTTTTTCATAATTACGTTTCATAAAATTCTGAATCGAATGAGACCAAATTTTGAAAAAGTATGTGCATGTGTGTGTTTATATCTGATCAGATTTTTTTACATCTCGCCGACGTTTTCACAAAAACTGCTGGGTCGATTTCAAAAGCTTTATTGATTTGACTAGTGTTGATTAGTTTTGCGCAACGACCTGCCAAACAGTTTCTTTACAATTATCAGAAAAGATTTTTTTTGTCCCAGTTTTAGCCCAGAATTTTAAATGAATTTAAAAAATTCAAAAACTATTCGAAAGGTATTGGTTAGTAATCGTGTGGATTAGATTCTAGTAAATATCGGCCGATTATCAGAATTCTGCGCGGGCCGGCCTTCGTAATTAAATGTTGAAAAATGATTTGATTATTTTGATACAATCTTTGTATAACAATAGATTTTATGGTTGAAATAACATTAAAATTGTCTAAACCTACGATACTATAAAAATATATTAAAATTTATAAAAAAATTATTATAAAATTATAAAATATAATAAATTATAAAAATTTAACCAAATTCATAATATCACAGTGCGCAGCGATTCTGTGCTGAAGCATATGTTTTATGCGTGCAGCTACTGAGTACAGTTCACGTCCACACTTGAATAAAATACATTTTTAGAAAACAAAATGGATAAAATGAAAAGCGTTAAACGATTTAATGTATTCAAGTACAGATATAAGTAAAGTTGATTATGTATATGGATAGAGAAGTTCATGCAACTTGCGTTAAGGCAAAAAGCTACTTACAACAGTTCTACTAGTTCATTTATTAGTTATTTTTTCTATTCAAAAAATTATACTATTGGTGACAAATAATTTTGACATTCATAAAAATGAACAAAAAAGTTTCTGGGTAATCAGTATTAGTTCTATAACTATTTGACAGGCAAAAATATAATAAACAGAAGGATCTTAATTGGAGCCCTAAAGAAGATCTTCTTCTGTGACTTACTTTTCAAGATGAACGGTAATATTTAAAATATGTGATATTATATAAAATGATATTATATAAAATATGAGCCATTTATGGCTCGTCTCCATTGCACGAATCCTTACGGCAAATCTGTTCGCAAAGTGCGCAGACAAAATTATTGCAAACAAAAGCAAGCCACACGCACGTTATGGCCCGTCTCCACTGCACGAACGCACACGACGAATCCTGTTTTTGACATGCGCGTGGTTTGCTTTTGCTTGCAAAATTTCTGTCTGCGCACTTTGCGAACAGATTCGCCGTACGAATTCGTGCAATGGAGACGGGCCATTACGAAAAGGATTCGCCGTGCGAGTTCGTGCAATGGGGCGCACCATAACACCTGAATTAAGCGACCGGAGATAATTTTAAATGACGGCTATTACCGAAATTATCGAAAGTAAGAATAAAACTAGCTGTAAGTAGAATTTTGTCTTAAGGCAATTAAGGCATCGTGCCTTAAGGCAAATTGCTGGAACTTCCCGTACCAAAAATTATTAATTTTTTAAAAACGATTAACATTTTTGAAAAAATGTACTTTGAAAAAATAAGATTTTTGAGAAACTATATATATGGACAAAAAATTACTTTTTTTGAAAAAAAAAAAAATTTAAAAAAAAAAAACAAAATTTTTTTTAATTTTTTTTTTTTGAAAAAAATTTGTTTTTTTTTTATTTGACATATTGTGGAAGATCTGAACTATTTTTTCAAAGCAATCGTACTGATTTAACTGCATAGGAACAAAAAATAAAGCGCGTAAGCGCCGCGACGCTGTCTAACGCATAAGCATTGGTACGGAACCCATAGGAATGTTAACAAAATGTATACTTATTGTTAAAATCTCTATAAAATATCTGATAATTTGATGTGCATTTGTCTAATGATCATTTTTGACCGCCAAATGGCTAATTTTTTTACTTTTTCCTCCATATCTCCGAAACCGCTAGACCTACCTTTATGAAAATTTTATCGATTCTTCATCTTGTCAATACAAGTGAAATGTTTTTTGAATTATTTAAATCGGACGCTCCGTTCTCTTAAAAACTGAGTTACCGTTTTCGGCACTTTTTGCCCCGTATCTTCGGAACGGCTAGACCTGCCTTCGCCAAAAACTAATCAGCACGTCTCCTTATCAATACGAATCGAATGTTTTTTGAATTATTCAAATCGGTTGAGCCGTGTTCCCGAAATCGTCGACGAAAATTTGTATCCGCACATACATACACACACGTACATACATACATACACACACACACACATACATCCATTTTTTCTAAGGTATGCCAAAATGTTCAGAAAGCTTTGAAACGTAAAGATATATAAAAATTTTCATTTTCGATTTTTTTGCGATTACTATAACTTGCCCTACGGGAAGTTAATAACTAGTATTACATATAAATTAATAGTCGCAAGAACAATATAATGCAAATTTAATGCATCACTTGACAGTCAATAATATAAAACAAAAGAAAAACTAAGAAGTCAGTGTAAAAAAAAATGAAAAATTTAATGCATATATTGAGTTCGTTCTACCAGAGCCCAAACAAAAACTACGCGCATGCGCAGACTAATTCAAACACTTGCAAATCAAAATCAAAATCATCAGTTTAGATCACTTTGGGATCGGATGGAACAAACCTATCGTCAATTTTTTTGACAGACAAAAATATATATAACCAATGTTCTTTTATCTATGAATTTAGCTAGGTGTATGTGCATCATTTAACAGTTAAAAAAAAAAAACCGCTTGCTTAGTCATGTTTTTCTCGCGAAAGGAAAGATAAAATTATGATATTGGGGAAAGTTAAAGTTATTATTGTATATTTAAGTAACAAAATCAAGTTATTGTAAAAAAAACTGGCGGCGACACAGCCATTTTTGCGAGACGCGTCCAGTTTAAGCGGGCGGGTAGTGCGAAACAATAGAAAAGACATTGAACATGCTTTGACTACAGAACTGAATAGGGGATTTTAAAAATGTTGAATGTGTGATTGGCAGGAAAGTACTATTTAATTAAAATCGTTAAATTTTGTGTATGTAAGAATTGAAATTCAGTTATTTGGGTAAAGTAAAACATTCTTATGTCTGTAATTGTAAAAATCAAATTAATTTGTTTGACACATTCATCCATTTCGGGTTCTAAAAATGTATGTAAAAGTTTGGACGCCAACTGTAATCAGTAGCTCAACCGCTTATCGTAGGCAAATAATCGCCCAAAAAGTTTTTTCAACATTTAGTTACAAAAAAAAACTTTGGTAAGAAATAATTTACCTCATTTTAAAGGGTAAAAGACAACTTTTTTTTATATTACCCCTTAAGGCAAGTTGCATGAACTTTGACATAAGTGGACTTGATGAATAAGAAATATGTTAATAAATGCGATTTCAGATTATACTGAGTTGTGTAGAGCATTATAATGAGAGAAATTATTGCAGGTTTTTCGACAAATAATATTATAAATATGCTCCCAATATATACAGAATATAGTCTAAGAGCGCGTCTGATTAATCCAAGCATTCATTAATTTTCATAATTAAACCACTTGTCGTTGGCCTAAAATATTTTAGTATGTTCATTAAGACTAGAAACTTCCAAGAATGAACCATCAAAGTATCATTGAAATTACAAAAAAAGAACAATCGATTACGCAAAAGTTAATAAGGACGAGTCCCAAATGATATCTTTGCAATTCTGAACTTGTAAAATCAATTTTTGGCTAAAACCTAGATGAAAAATTTCTGCTAATTACAAAAAACAACTTGGCCAATCGTCATGCAAAACTGTCTCTATTTTCCCTGATTTTTAAGTACAGTAGAACCTCAATTATCCGGACCTTGGTTATACGGATTCGCGATTACCCGGGCTACCAACCGCGACCAATTTATATGTATGAATATACCTACAATTCGAATTTTAGCATGATTAATGCCGCAGTTTAGTACATGTATGTAATCTAATCGAGAAAAATATGGATGTACACAGAGTGTTAATTTCTTGATAAACATTGATTTTTGTTGATATCTATGTATGTAATTGTTATTTTTAATAAATGCACAACATTATTCTTTATACATTTGATTATCCAGATTTTCGATCATCCGAAGGCCCATTGACAACAATTAGGCCGGTTAATCCGGGGTTTTACTGTATATATTAAAATCTAGAAATCATTATAATTTATAATAATTATTGCTTTATTATACATTATACAAACTCATTGAAAAATATTCATATAAGTATTAGTTATTTTCACTTATTGCATTATAAACAACTGCCAAATGCGAAATAATGAACAATTGATTTCTATAGAATTTACTAGATAACAGTATGTAGAACACCTATTAACAAAGATTAGCAATTAAAAAAAATATTCTGAATGTCAGCAGAAAACATTCAACACAAAAATTAAAATGACGTCAGTGTTTAAGAACAGTTGAATATAACATACTCGTAAGTAAAAAAGTCGCATTGTTATTTATAATAAACTTTAAAATATGCTCGTATTCACAAACTTTCATACTTGTATCTATCTTTTGATCAATATAAATTTAAAAAAAAAACATAAATAATATTGAACTGTTGACGGTTTGTTAGATTAAAAGTCGCATTATTACTTTAATATATAATTTTTGCATAAATATTTTATCTGATAAAGTGTCGCAAGGTGCCAATTATCAACTTTCATATTAATTATTAGCAGTAAAAGGTGAGATAGTTACTGAATTATTTTATATACTAAAGTTTGATAGATATATAAGTATATTTGAACCAACCTGAAGCAACAAAGTTTATCTTCTGCCCAGCACTAGAAGTTTTTTTCCCCAGAACTTGAGGTTCTTGTGATGGAATAGGCTTTCCAAGTTTTGTATGCAACTTAACAACCTTTTGATGTTTAGCTCCACGAACATGAGCTGCATATGCATCATTCCCTGTGCATGTCACATCACATAGCTCACAGCGAAGAGCATTCCCAGCACGACCTTGAGAAACGTTAGTTACAGTCGCTACTAATTTTAAACTTGCTTCTCTCTTTTTATGCTTTTGTCCTTCTAAATGTTCTCTGTAAGTCTACAACAAAATAAAAATAAATAAAGTTAAATATAGGCATTAAATCGCAAAGCTTATGATTAAGCTAAAAATTCTAGATATAAAATACTATAGCATGCAAGTAATTTGAAATACTAAGTTTGTATGGTAATAATAATAAATGGTAGTGTAAATGTCCCTTTTGTATGGGGAAAGTTTTATAAGTCGATTTTCTAGAACTCAAGTTAAGAGTTCTAAAGTTAAATTTGAAAGCACAATTTGTGGAGCACAAAATTTCAAAAATGAGTTTTTACAAAAATTTTGTTATTAAAAGTTCCAAAATGTTGATCAGATTCTGCATATTTTTCCATATCAAAAATATTTACAATATAACTTTCAAATTCTGTATCTAAATGAACAGTAAATCGTCAAAGACCACAAAATGATTTAACCTTTGTATTTGTCAAAACCAAACTACATTTGGCATAAATTTGAAGACAATAAAATAGTAAACACAGCAAAAATAAATGTCAAATTAAATACCTGAGGTCCTGCACAGCTTATTCTGCAAACATCACAATAATGGAGTTGTTGAGGCTTTGGAGGCTGTTTTGGCCTTTGAGACTTATGTCCACCTACTCCACCTTGATTGCCTTGGCCACCTTTTTTGGGATAACCTGAAAGAAAAATTGGAATTAGCATAAAATGAACAAAAAGATTTCATTAGTAATAGCTTAAAAAATAATTGGCAACTTAAAACTAGTAACTGTTTTTAAATTTAAAATACGTAATGAAAGTCAAGTTAAATAAACCATAATACCAATGAAATTTAGATAAGTAGAACCATTTAGTAAATAAGAATTTTCTACAAAAAACATCTAAATAAACTTCACGGCTGATATACCTTGCCAACCACCTTGTGCACCAGTTTGACCACCTTTTTGTTGTTGTTGAGCAACAAACATAGTAGTAGCACTGTATAAAGCGGCATCATAACCAGAATAAGGTGTTGAATTAGCTGTTGCTGCAGCTGTATTTTCTAATGATAATATTTTTATGTAGTTATATATTTACTTTAAATAAAATAAAATAATATTGTCTAACTCTTATTTGCCTTTGTATAAAATGTGAAAAATGTTCATATAATTTTCTTAACCACTTAAGCATCTCGAACGAGACCCTCTCGCGCGGCGAATGTGTTTCGATTTGCTCTCGTCACATACAAATATTCTGTTTTCACTTCGAACGAGACTGTTTCGCATATGAATAGTTAAGATTTTTGCTATTTTGAGTACCTCTCGCAACTTTATTTATATATTATATTCAAATTTTTATCTGATAATTTTAGCGTTTTTGTATTTCATATATATATATGAATGTAAGCATACCAATGCTTTTTATAGTTTATGGAAATATCAAATTGTTAGATTATTATTTCATAGACCTTATAAGTGTATACTTTTAAGTGGATAATTGTTATATATTTGTTGAAGTAACATATTTTTGCTTTGTCGTGAATAGTTTTGAAAAAACATTTTTTGAAATTTTAATTTTTTTTAAATGTTTTTTTTTATTTTAAATGTAATTTTCATGTTTTTGACTTTATATTATGATTTCCACAATATTAATATGTCAATTAAAAACAGAAAAAACCTGCTTATTTTTTGACCTCACTTCACAAAAAAAAAACCCTAACATTAAGTGGTTAAAGCAGCTATCACATTTTTTATTTAATAAATATTATTAGAATTTATAGAACTCACGTTTTTGTGCTGCAGTCGTTTGGTTATTCGATTGATATGTTGTTTGTGTGGCAGTAGCAGGTGCTTGCGCGTAGGTTTGTTGAGTTGCTGGTACATATTGAGCCTTGGCAGTTTGGTTGGCACTCTGCCTAGGAGCGGTAGCTTGGGTTGTGTAATTTACAGTAGTTTGGTAGGCAGGCTTGGCTGCATTTGCATCATACGCAGGAGCTGTATAACCTGCCACTATAAATTAATTGAAATAAATTTGAGAAAATTGTTTATTGAAAATTCTTATAATTTAAATACAATTTTAATATAACTTTAACTTATTTTATTACTATATCATTAGCAATTGAGTTGAGCATTGAATATGAAACACAATGGAGCAAAGGAAATATAATTATATTAAGTTCAGCACATTTATTCGTTACATCATTAATCATAAATTACCTGCAGCCGTAGCACCAGCTTGCTGATAATATGTCTTTGATGCATCATATGTAGTTGCAGCTCGACCATATCCATAGTCATAAGTTGCAGGAGCACCAGTAGCTAAAGAATACAATAATTTTAACATGTATAACAAGAAAAGTTGTGTATAACATAATGCTTTGACTGTAAATATAAACAGTAATACAAATGAAATGTCACTCACTGGCGTAGGTGCCTTGTGTGGCTGCAGCTTGGTATGCTGCTGTATCATAAGCAGTAGACGCCGCCCGTTGTGTTCCATAAGTAGCTGCAGTTGCCGCAGGAGTCACCGCGTATCCTGGTTGAGCAGCAGGATAAGCGGCTCCAGTTGCCGCCGCACTATTGAAGAAAAACATATCACACACTTGACGTATTAAAATGGTCTTAGACTCGTAATGAAAAACGTGATGTCACAAGTTATCGATCGGCTACCCTAAACTATTGCAATGACGCCATCTTGAATACTATAAAAGCGCCGGTCACAATTGTCAATTTACTCAACATAAAACGAACTAATTTTAATCCAAGTTCTTCACGAAAAAAACTTTTTATCTTACCCATATTGAGCACCTCCATGAGCAAAACCAAAGTAATTATTTGCGGCCATTCCGCAGAAAAAAATTAGCAACAACCAACAAATTTAAATTATTCACTTGTTTTTCTCGTGGGCATAAATGCTCAAAATTGTATGAAGTATCATATGAAGTTGCGGCTATTCAAGTTTGCATGCACATAACATAAAAATTTGGCGCTAACTTTGAATAGATATAATTTGGCATTTGTTTTTTTGGTAATAAATAATCATTTTTTTCATATAATATTACAAATTTTCACTTTTATTATGTACTTATTGAAAATAGAAAATTTTATATAATAACTTTATTACAATTTTAGCCAAAACTGAAATTTTTTTATATTCAAGTATATAATATATCAAATTATATTCAAAATCAAAATATTTTATATACATATTTTATTTAAACATAAAGAGTACCATTATTTATATACATAAATCTTATACACAAAGAACTATTTTAATAGAAAACTCTATGGCTATCAATATCAATTTTTTTTTTAAACAATATAATTGATGCGTGTGAATTTTCGTACAATGAATATATGGGCGAAACATTTCTACGCAATCATGTATATTTTTCAGTCACTAAATCTAAAAAAACTGAAAATGGGCTTTAATTTGTACACTTTGCGGAATCTCAAACAAGGCAATTCGCATGAAAAAAAATTAATGTGTTATATTCAAAATATCTTACTCAATACGTTGAATATTTGAAATATGTTTTCATAACTGTAGTTGATTAAATTGAGAACCATATAATATATAAAAAATATTTTTTCTTTGAAAATATTACCATACGCTGCAGATTTTTCAAGTGATATAACAATTTGGAGTAATTGTCAGTAACGAAATCAATATAGATTATATATAGAAACAAAATGTTGGATTATTTGATAATATTAATAAATATGTTTTATAAATTACGTAGATTCACTTTGCAACGTTGTAGAACATTTGAGTAAAATTTTGTTTTTCTAGCTGATATATTCGTATTGTTTAATATAGACACCTCAAATCAATTGCATAAGTACTCTGACAAATTTCAGCTTATTTATACAAATCTTTATTATGAATTAAAATAAATACATTAATGAAAAAATATATGTATATGGATATCAATAATAAATTAATATAAAATATAATACAATTTAAGAAACTTAACGTTATGAAAAAATGTGCAATAAATACTTTCGATAATATAAGTTAAATATTTGTTAATATTTATCCTAATTGATTATGATATAGGTACTATAAAATTACTTTCATGTCCACTCGCACAAATCGCCTATGACTATGAGAAAAATATCTCTAATGCACAAATTCAACATTCACTACAATTCAAGCCATTTCTTTACCCCAATGCATGATAAAAATCGAAATTATACGCAATAATAACAAATTGAATATTTATTAAAAATGTATGCTCTTACTTACTTTATAACAAATCTTTATTATAAACAATCAATAATAATAAGATGTGCCTACTTGAATAAACGGGATACATAATTATTTAAGGATATAATAAAAAAAATCATTTATCACGTTAAATATGATAAAAAAAACGTATTTTTTGTCAAAATATGTAGCATATCGTTTATAATTTTCTGACTTACGTATAAGTCATATAATTATCTATTTCGTGTTTTATTCATTTAGTTTTTATGCACAAGAATATACAAGCTCCATTGATTTCATAATTACACTCTACTATAATAAATATATTGATTAAATAGCCGTTGAATGGTCGTACATTTTACACAAAGCTGTGTATACATTACTGAAAAATTACCAACAAATACTTTGACTGTAATTATAAAATTACGATTTTGTTTGTTTATTGAACAATTAAATTATTCAAATATAAGTTAGGCCATAGATTTGATATGCCATAAAATGCTGCAAAAAATTCTTAGATTTATTTGCTTTTTACAAGATACATTTAAGATGCATTGCTTTAATATTTAAACCAATAAATAGGTTTTGTATATGTGTCATACAAAGAAATATCCTGTCGACTTATCAAATCATAAAATTAACGACTTTTTTAAATTATGGATAGTGTAGTAAATAACATCTACTTACATTTACAATGAGCATTTGAAACAGTGCGCGGCTTTATTACATCTGAATTATGATGAATATAAGTGAAATATATTCCATCCAAAATTTTTAATTCTATAAAAACATGTTTATAGAGAAATTAATTTACTCGCGCAGTTTATGCCAATCAGCAATCTGTCGACGTGGCGAGTTGCAGACTTCGTTCCAGTGATGTAGGGTCGAGCCTGTGCTGCGAGGTCCTCCCAGTTCTAAGCGACCAATTACCTGTAATTATTGTTATTTTTATAAATAATAATATCATTCATTAAACTGAATATTATTCACTTTTCTCTATTTTTATACCTCATTTTTAGTAACGCGGTCCCAGTCAAGAAGCAGCAGTTCTAAAGAAACTCCATCTAATGCACGTGTTTCAGCAGCATCACCTGCTGGACCACCAGCCGCAGATGGAATGTCAAAGCCAAAACTTTCATTAAACACTGGATTCAGAGTACGTTTCTTAACATGAGTTTTCTTTTTAGCAATTCGTTGGCCGTTGTATAACAAGTATATCTTTACGTATCTGCAACAGTGATTTTGATATTATCAACATTGAATTAAGCAATCAAATCCCACTCAATTTTATAAAAAATGCAATGCAAAAAAAATTAAAAACTATGTTTTAAGATTTTACGGAATACTGAAACACACATGGTCAGTGAATAAAGATCATATCCCAAAGTTCATTATTTTCGTACCACTTGCTATTCAAAATAAATATTCTAATCAATAAATTTACTTACGGATCAGCCAATCCAGTTACGTCCATTCTTGGTAGATTGCGTGCTTTGAGAAGGACAACCGTAAGCCGTGATGCTGCCGGCTGCCAGCATAAAGAAACCAGAAGTTCGCCTCGTGACTGGCAACGGATCTATAAAAATATAACAATTTATAGAAAAACAAATGTACTTTTAACTGTAATCTAAAAAATATAACAATATACAGAACAACCTTTCCTAGGGCAGACTTGGTACGGTTGAGCCACTTTTTTTTTATCAGCTATAATTTTGTTAATTTACCAGTTATCTTGGAGAAAGGTGAATTAAATGGCAATTGGAACATTTGTCTATGTGAAAATACTAAAATACTGTCTTTATATACGATGGATTAGTCATAAAATCAAATCATATAAGACAAGTGCGAGTGTCACAAACGTCCACACCCCAAGGACGGTGGTGACAGGCATAAAAATAGATTAAATCTTATGTCCGATATATGTAACACAGCGCAGCATAATCATTTAAACAAAGCTTATTAATATAATATAACATTGTGTATTGTTATGTTATATTCATAAGCAAACATAATTTTAAACAAAAGTTTAGACGTCCGGCGCAATGTCTTTATGAATTTTTTTTTCTTATTTTTAATGTTTCTTTACCTTCTTTTTTCGTATTTTGTTTTAATTAAATTAGAATATTCTTTATCTGTTTAAACTTCACCCGAGAAGGGCAACCCCATAACCAAATGTTACAACCACATCCAAAGCACAATTTTGAGAAGTAACTTTTTTTGACCCTTTAAAATGCGGTCTACACAGATCATATTAATGTAGGGCACAGACTAAATGCAATAATGGGAACTTGTTCAAACAAACATACTATATCTTTCTGCCTTTGGAAACCCTATCTCAAAATCAGTACAGTTTAGCTTCTGGTGACTGGCACAACCGTACTCAGTCTGCCATATTCTTACTTATTTCAATTTTAATATTTTGTGATTAGATTTAACTTTAAATTGTTCATGATAATTATATTATTACATGACATAGAACATTTATTGTTATTTGTATATGTATTCTACAGAATTAATTGAATACTCTGTTACACCATGGTAATTGACCTTTAACCATTTTCAATATTCAAATGGAACTTAAATATTTGATTTCAAAATAGTTATAATTAACATTCCAAAACGAGAAAAACGGTCTTTTTTCAAAAACTTTTTATTTTTCTAATCCAATGCTGTTTGATTATTGAAATCGGTTGCTACAAGCTCTCGGAAAAGTATAACGACAAATTATATGGCACATATTACATATATACACACATATAATATATAATAAAAACATATATTATTTTTTTTTTAATTGAAATATATACTAAAAATTCGGTTATAAAATGTTAGCATGTGAAATTGTTTTTTTTCCTGTTTCAGTAAATTCAGTTTATAAATATACTGGTAACAAAATGCAAATAAGTCTTATATTTTAACTTTTTTTAACTTTTAACGAGATATTGGCTAATAGCTGATCGTATTACTTATCACATACATACTATGTATTACACATACAATTAGTATGTGCAAATCAATCAATAGCATTTAGAAAAAAAATACAGTTACCTTAAGACTACGTGGTTGAATTTCCCTGCTGAGTGCGACCTGTTGGCAACCAGCTTGGGCTAGATCAACACCAGCCAGAGCGCAAACGACTTCTCCAATGACATCATCGCGGGAATACCTATCAAAGCTCAAAACTACAAAATGCAGAGACATAGCCGATAATTCACTGATGGACAATCCGTAAAATGTAAAATCTTCATCATATACTGGATTTCGAGTATTTCTCACCACCCTATAATAAAGATTTGACTTAGATATACTTCACATTTATCTTTTCATCAATTGAATAAAATATATATTGTTTATCAAATACATATAAGGGTCTATAATATTTCAAGATATTTGTGACAAAAAATTAGGATAGGGTGACTAAAACTTTCCATAACCCATATTTAACTAAATTTATTTTATTTTATATTATATATCATTTTAATAAATATTCAGATTTTTAATCCATTAGATTACACAATTTAATGGCTGTTGTTTTTCTCATTTTGTCTCATTTTGTCTGTAGCTATTGGTAAAATCAAAAAACAAAATCATATATTTTATTTATGTTATATTTATCTAATTGCATCATTTGCAGGAAGACCTCAAACAAGAGCCAAAAAAATGAAAGTTTTGGATATAAAATAATCTAGTTTAATATGTCATCGTTTTAAAAATAACAAATAATTTCGAATTTAGCACGTATTCAGTTGAATAGAAAGAAATTGTATTCATTTAGATATTAAGAGGCAGAAGTATTAAATTGATGGCTCCTACATTGCTAAATTTATTTGTTTTGTTTAGCGTTCGCACTAATAAATTTATTATACTGACCTGGTTTTAACTTTATGTTGTTTATCTGGCAATAATTGTAATTTGACATAAGGATCTGTGTTTGGTCCACTCCCATTGTTTTTGCCATTATTGTTTGTCTGAACTGCTAAAGAAACTACAGGCGGACCAGGAAGCGGATTATTACGCGCTGGTAATCCGCGACATCGCACAACTGACACAACCAGGGCTGACCGCTCTGCTAGATATCTAAACAAAAAGAAACAGAATAGTTATTCAAATGCTTGGTTATTAACAATCAAATTTTAAGACTTATATATATATATATATATATATATATATATATATATACTTAAAGATTATGAAACGCAGGTTTGGATCAATTTTAACAATAATTACTGCAATTTAAATCAAAATTAATTTTCAAGATTAATATTGATCAACTTGATTAATTAAATTGTTGGTGCATTAAATAATCAAATTAAAATTCTTTATTGAGTCACAACCGACTTTTTTATAAATAGAATTTGTATTGTGTTCTTAAATTTATGAGTTCGTTCTTTTACTAGCGCGAAGTTGTACTAAAACACGAAGATCGATAACACATTCAATTTTCATGAGTACCTGCTGAATATAGTCTTTAGTCATTAAAAGTGTGACATTATTTTAAAGTTTATAATACAAATTATTTGCAAAAGTTCGTGTGCTTGATTGTTTATATTTAATTTTCTTTGAACTATAATATTGGCTAATTGAAGTTAGTAAAATAATTTACTCCAGATTTAATCCAGATGTTGTTTGACTCATTCCTAAAGCATTATTACAAAATTGCTTAATCTACAGCTAACGCCAATTTGATTTGGAGTCTAACTCAGCTAAAGGATCTGCCATCATTCGGAGTTGGCTTTATTTTAGAATATGTTTAGAAATATAGTATATTCAAATTTTGAAATTAAACTGGTAAAGATTCATTTTAGAAAGTTATCAAAATTGATCATGGTTTTCAATGCTTAATTTTTCAATTTGCCTCTCATTAATAACTAATTACTTCTCAAAAATTAATTAAAATTTTAAAAAGCATGTAAAATTTTGAAGGCACTTGCAAGCCATATAATTATACTTTTTGTAATTTCTCACAACCAGCTATGTTATGCTAATTTTTTTATAACGGAATGCCAAAATTAAATTCGTTTCTCGTAATTTTTGATTTGGTTCGAGTTCCAACTTAGCAGAAAACTAGTGGGGCGCATGGCATCTAGCCTTAAGGCAAATTGCTGGAACTTTTCGTACCAAATATTATTATTTTTTTTAAAAACGATTAACATTTTTGAAAAATTTTTAGTTTGAAAAAATTAGATTTTTGAGAAACTAGGACTTTAAAAAAAAATGTTTTCTTTATTTTGACATATTTTGGAAAATCTGAACTTTTTTTCAAAATATAGGTTCGTACGTTTTCAAATAATAGGTTCCGTACCAATGTTTACCAATGTTTTCCGTACCAAATAGTACGATTGCTTTGAAAAAAGTTCATAATTTCCAAAATATTTCAAAATAAATTTTTCTTCAAATAGTCTTTTTTTTCAAAAAAGTAAATTATTGTCAAAAATTTATAGTTCCTCAAAAATCTAATTTTTCCAGAGTAAACTTTTTTCAAAAATGTTAATCTTTTTTTAGAAAAAAGAAAAGTGGTACGGGAAGTTCCAGCAACACACATACATCCATTTTTTCTAAGGTATGCCAAAATGTTCAGAAACCTTTGAAACGTAAAGATATATAAAAATTTTTATTTTCGATTTTTTTGCGATTACTATAACTTGCCCTACGGGAAGTTAACAAACATTCCGGATCCACGATTCACGGTTCGGAAAAAACAAGCTGATTCGTTTCGGTTTTTGTTCAAGTTTGGGTTCAGTTTGAAGTTTGAACTTCGCTTCAAATCCTTGTTTATAATAAAACAAATAACAAGTCGTCAAACAGTAGACAAAAAGCAAAATTTAATATTTTTATTTCAATACGTCAGCAAATCTTGTTGTATGAAATGATCTTTAGTTCCGAAACGCGTTTCTGCCCAAAAATCAACATTAAAAAGGAAGTATCGGAACGACGTTCCGGAGCATTCCAGCTCGTCAACACCACTGCTCATGACATAAGAAAATATCCACTTAATATATATAGTAAACTAAGATGTTATACAAAAAGTAGTAATTTAGTAAAAGTAGTAAAAGTAGTAGTGAAAAAATATCATTAGAAATATTATTATATAGCATTATTATAAATACCTCAGTTTAAAAACGAGTGTTCCAAGTTTTCCGTGTTCTGCATTCTCGATACTCTGTTCAATGCACGTCGACCCGGGCTCGTCAGCGTCACCCGGAGCTGGGTCAGCCTCTCGCGGTGTCTGCACGGGCGCCTCGTCCGCGTAGCGCGGAGTCGAATCGCCCGGCGACAAGTTGCCGTTTGACATCATACCACCACTTGGTATACAACTGCCGGAGGATACTATGCTGCTGGACATGCTGGGCGATAACTGTAATATAGATTTATATTATGTATTGATCTAATTTGTGTTCTATTTGTTTGGTATATTCTGTACTAATAAGGTGATACCTATACTTTTCGAAAAACGGGGACAATCCGCGATAAACTTTTATAAAAACCCGAGACTCAAGCTGGTAATCCGGGACGTATGTCACCTTAGTACTGATTTTTTTTTTTATGTAATTACGGTTTTGTTATTTCGCTTTTGTACAAAACCATTGATATTCTACAATAATGTTGAATAAATGAATACAAATTAAGATGAAATTGTTACCATTCATAATAAAACATATATTCTTATCCAGTGGTTTCCAACCTTTTTGTAGCGCCCCCCCCCCCAGTTTTACGAAAAATTATTGCTGCGCTCCCTTAATTTTTCTAACTATCTAATTTTATAATCATTCAACTGATAACAATAAATTTATCAGGTCACAAAATAATATGAAATACAATATCAAAATATACATGAAAACTAGTTGGTTTGGTATTTAGCCTTGAGGCAAGTTACATGAACTTCCCGATATATGTAAATAATCGACTTAATCAATAAAAAATAAATTAATTTATGAGTGATTAAAAGTATTCCGAGTGGATTTATTACACATAATTGAAAACGAACAAACACGTTAATCGGAGTATTTTCTAAAAGCAAATTTTCAAAAATCAATATTTTTTTTAATTGAACCAGTTTACGTTCCATAAACATCGTCTTAATTTATTTTTCAAACAGTTAAATGCAAAAAATAGGCTCGGTAGATTTTCACCTAAAACTAATCAGTATCATTCCCAACTAATATCTTTCGAACAGTTTTTGATTTTTTAAAATCGATTCGGTAGAATGAGCTTAAATGTCGACGAAAAGTTTAACACTTTTTTCCAAATTTCAAAGAAACGGCTCGGCCGATCGTCGCACAAAAGTGACAAGCGATAGTCCTTATTGAGACACATCAAATGGTTTTTAAATTTCTGAAATCGGTTCAGGCGTTTTTGAGCAATCGTCGATAAAAGGTCTAATTTTGACAAATGCCAAAAAAAAACGATACTAATTTTTGCAAACTTTAACGAATTTTTAAAGCTAGACGAGTTGTCGTAGGGCCGTAATATTTTAGTATGATCTAGAAGACTATGATATCTACCATCAAAAAAAATAATAATAAAAATCGTCGAAAATTTTTTTTTAACACTTTATTACAAGCCGATCTTTCAGTACAAGTATCATTGTCACTGTACCAGTCCAGCTAATATTCTTGAAATAGTTTATGTGTTGCTTTAACTTAACTTCTTTATCTATGACTTTAAAATTTTAACTCAACATAAACCAACTCAATTAGTCAAAATAGATGCTTATCGCAAATCTTTGTCCTGCCCTGAAGTTTAACCACACCCTTTATACATGAGTATATTAATGATACACTGTTAATACTTATTATTCATGCAAAATACGTCTAATTTTACATTAATTTTAGGGGGCCTCCATTGATCATGTTATCAATTTTTTAAGGATTTTTGGATCTTCCCTTCCTCTTAGTGACACGTGGTGATATTCAAATTTACCACCTTACCCACCAAATATCACGTGTATTTTTAGTTACGAGAAAAAATTGTATTTTTCTGAAAATTTTTGGATATTTAAAAAAAAAGTCAGGTAAAAAATAAATACACGTGATATCTTACTTTATATATATATTTATATACCTTTTTTTTTCTCCCTCACGCGATATTTTGTGATTTTTTGTCAAACGACGCCACCCCCCCTTAAAAACCTCACGTGATTATTGGACGCCCTCTTATATTGTTACATATATAAGAGAAATTTAATTTTTATTTATGTTTATCTCTGAAAACTGTGTTTGTATCATAGCCATATTAAAATTAGACGCATTAGCTTTATATGGTATCACTCACCCCTGGTGGTGATCTTGCTGCTAATGAAGGCAAAGGGCCGCTTCCAGACGTAGGGCTAGGACTTTTCTTCAGATAGTAATGTGTGGGCGCACCTGTAGGACTACGTACCGCAGTCGGTTTTCGGGGTGGTTGAAAGTGTAAAGGAGCCTCAGCGGACGCTTTGCGGGCTGCAACAGCGTCGGCTCTTCTTCGGTATCGTCGGACGCAAAGACCTGCTACTGCGGCCAATACTGCGGCACATGCGAGACCTACGAGGATCGCGGGGGCCACTGAAACAAATATTAAGTAAAATTTTAATATTGTTTCGATGCTTTTAATTGTATAATTTGCATTACTCGTGTAATGTATCATTTACATCTAATGATGAGAAAGAGAAAGAAAGCAATGAAAAGAAGTACAGTAAAGTTTTGATTAACCGGACTAATTGTCGATAGGCATTCGGATAATCAAAAATCCGGATAATCGAATGTATAAAAAGTAATGCTGTGTATTTATTAAAAATAACAAATACATATATAGATATCAACGAAAATAATGTTTGTCAAGAAATTAAAACTTCCTTATGTATGTACATATATTTTATTAGATTACATTACATACTTATACTAAACTGCAGCATTGATCATGCAAAAATTCGAATTATAGGTATTATATGCACATACATATAAATTGGTCGCGGTTAGGAGTCCGGATAATCGCGAATCCGTATGACCGAAGGTGGGATAAACAAGATTCTACTGTATAAGCAAATTATTAGACTGAAGAAATTTATTGACTTAATGATTAAAAACAACTTTGTGAAAAATCTTGAGCGTTGCCATTAATTAACTTTTAGGTAAATATTTTTATAATTTTGTCGATATAGTTCGAGTGTTGTGGATTCTTGGTATTAATATACAGTAGAACCTCGATTATCCGGACCTCGGTTATACGGATTCGCGATTATCCGGACATAATCGCGTCGGAACTTGCATATTCTGATGTGCCTGTATACATTAAAACATTCTCTGTTTTGACGTGCATATATACATTTTTGAAGGGTGGTGTTATCCCTTAAAGATAAAATAAATATTATAGAATCATTAAAAAAGGCGAAACCGGTGAAACCGGAAACTGATAGGTATGGTGTAGTGTAGATACATCCACTATAAGCGATATTAAAGAATGCCGCTTCAATTTTGTCGTACACTTGCAAGTTAGATAGTGAAGAGGGGAGTGAAAATCGGAAAATGGTGAGGAGACCGAAAAATGAACTCTTAGAAGAAGCTCTATATTGTTGGTTTTTACAAAAACGATCAACAAATTATTTGTAAGCAACTTTTCTTCTTCATTGATACTTTACGTACCACCTGAATATTTTACCTCATGATTAATATAATATGTATAATGTAATCTAAGAAAATATGTAAATGTTAATTTTCTAATAAACATCGATTTTTGTTGATATCTATGTATGCATTTGTTATTTTTGATAAACAAAACATTATTCTTCATAATTTGGATTATCCGGATTTTCGATTATCCGGATGCCTATCGACAACAATTAGTCCGGATAATCGAGGTTCTACTGTAGTTGGAAATTACATAGATTATTTGAAAATAATAATAGTAATGATATCTTAACGAGATACTTTTTTATTTGTATAATTTCTCATAAAAATGGATTCTTACAAGACCAATAATAAGTCTCAGCGTGATTATTCTAACTACACATAGCGCACATTTGGGTGGAAATCCAATTACGACAACAAATCTAATAAGAATGCTATTGACTTAGATGAAACACGTTTACATTGAACTCACTACGATATAAATAGTCAAAAATGTTTTTTATCTATAGGGTGTCAACAAATATTTTGCTAAATGTCCTAAGTGTGATTCAGTCTTACTAAATGCTAAACGGCATAATGGAATCAGCTGTACTTGTATTTTGATACAAATAAAAAACCATAATTCATAAGACTTTCATAAATAATACGTAGTTTTTAAAAAAAGCAAGAACAAAAGTAGATGTTATTTTGGGAATGTAATTTATTTCTAAAACCAATAAAGTAATGCAATATTGTAAAATTAGAATGTTTCTATATTTTTTATCATTCACTTCTAGTTCAACAATCAGATTACTTTATTGAAATCTATAGTTTCTATAATGGAAAACAATTATTGATGTAATTTACTCTTCGTCAAAATTTGGAATTGCGGAACTTCATAAAATTCGATAATATATTACTGTATATTGCTATAATTTTATTTTTATTTTCATAGTTAGAAAAAAAGAACATTGTTATTATTCTTCTGCATTTATTTTCTTTTTGATAGATTTTGTATACAGCCCAGTGCTAGACGTGAAAATATTATTTGCAAGACGTGATAATATTATACATATCCAATTAATTTTTTTATTGTTAAAATGCAAATATTAGCAAACAAAACACACAATGCAAGTACAACTTCTTTTTAAATTAACAATTAACTAACTTAATTCAATAAAATACAGCACTCAAATATTATAACGCAGTAATAATCTATGTAATATCCAGCTATATCAATACTAAGAATCTACAAAATTCCAACTGTATTGACAAAATTATAAAAATGTTTACCTAATAGTTAATTAATAGCAACGCTCAAGATTTTTAACAAAGTTGTTTTGAATCATTAAGTCAATAAATGTCTTCAGTCTAATAATTTCTTTTTCTTGCTTTTTTTCTCTTTCTCATCATTAGATGTAAATGTTAAATTATTTGAGTAATACAATTTAAACAATTGAAGGCAATTATTATTTAGCAATATTCTATTACAACATCTTTCACTAGGTATTTAAACATTTTACAAATATATATTTCTATTTAATAGTATTAGCACCTCTCTCTAAAGGTTTTCAAATGCTTAAATTATAACTTCAGTGCAGAAATCATTAGATAAACCATAAAACCATAGATATGTATTAATAAAAAAATAACTGTTCAATATAGGAGTAACATAGAAACAGAATAGAATAGAAATCATATTATATTCGAATTAAATAGGTCTTGTGAGAATAGATTCTATTAGATATTTTAAAAACAAACGGTATCTTGTTAAGATATTGATTTTTTCGAACAATCTACATAGATTTCGAACTATATCAGTACCATGTATGATCTTCATGAACAATTTTTTACACAAAAGAATTGTATTTTAGTTCAGCACATGGAATAAACTTTTCCTGTACAAAGTCATGTTAAAACCAACATAGCCAACGACGCGCAAATCCAACATAGCCATAATTCAAAGGTTTTTGAAAGGTTTGAAAGAAATTATAAACGCACTCAAGTATATCCTAAATTAGTTGGTTCATACAGATTCGAACATGAACACATTTAAGATAGAAATTGAAAAATTCAGTCTGAGATACAAGGATAGAATACAGAATCACCCAAACATCATGGCCAAAATATAATAAAAAACATGACATCGAACGGCTCAGAAGAAAACGGCCCCTTTTTGATATCCTTTAGCAATCCCATAATATGTACAATTACTCGTAGGCTTTATTTAATTTTTTCACATCAGGATTACATCTATAAGCTAAACATAACCAACATCCAATCGGATCACCACTGGGTGACCTTTCGACCTTCTCTCCTTATTTAATAAACCATTAAAATTACTAAATGCTTTTAGATTGTAATTCACAAATGTAAATAAAAAAAGATTTGTATTTATAAATTCTGTTTATTTGCAATGTATGTAGTCTATGTAGTATGTAATACATCTAAAAGCAATTACTTATATTTTGTTTCAAATAGTAAAGAATAACAATAACTGGTATATTTTGATTAGCTTTGCATAGCCCGATAATATTTAAAATACATGTAATGATAATAGTTATTAAAAAATCTTGTTTAAAACTTCGTAATGAATGTACTGTGTATATACTTTTGTGTAACGTTATGTGTATGAAATCGATTTTCTTAAGTCTGTTTGTCATAACTACTAATAATTCAAATTTTGATAATTTTAATAAAACATAAGGATGCACAATGACAAACTATTTTCACGATCTGCATACATAATATTTTATATTATGCATACTCAAAGCATCAATACACCAAAGAAACCTTTGTAGATTTATTCATACTATTTATTTTTATTAAAATATAGCATTTATTTAATAACCCACCTGATTCGAGTGATTTGATTTGTGGCCCTTCCTCGCCCATTGTTGCGCTTTAATTTCTTCCCAGAACTGTCAAATTCAAACCACTCAAAACGTAATAATATCACAAATATTGTTTACACCACTTTATCCCAGGTATATGGCACTGTGAATTGTGATATTGTTTGTAAATACTGTTTTTACAGAATGACAATGATTCAAAGCAAATAATACTTTCCGTCGTAGTAATTTTCCGGCTATGATTCAGAAATATATCCTGAAGAACTGGAATCAATATCGACGCGCATCCGCGGCATCCGCTCGAAGCGAGCGCATCTAGCGGCAAATTTTTGCATCAAATGGCGGCAAATTCAGGATGTACATTCTGAACTTATTTTTTTCAGTTCAGAATCATATTAATTTTCCCAAAAATCCACCTAATGAACATAAACTGTTAGTAATATGGGCAGTATCATAAACATTATAACAAATACATACATTTACAATAATATCAATTTTTTTCGAATATTTTTTACAGTAGGTTGAAATTTGAAGCAATTTCCAAAAAAGCATAGCCGGTTGATTTTAGTGTCGTTATAATTAATTAGCTTTTTTACAGTTTCTTTTATCATTCCACTGAAAAGTGTAATATATCTTTATATATAAAAAAAGATTATATGATAAAGAAGGGCAAAAACTGCTTTGAAAATCGACCGACGTTTCAATACGGACGGACAAATATAAGCTGCCGAGTGCCTCAGAGGGTCAGCCGAGTGGGAAGATCATTAAGAAAAATAATACAAATTATATCAATAAACTTACGTTTCGTACATGACACAGATTTTTCATTTGTTTCATTATTTTCACTATAATTATTTAAATAATTATTTACTGGAGACGTGTATGTGACGTACGCATACAATCAAAGACGCTCATGCGACACGACGACCAATCACAATCGACCCGTATAGAAATGACTCGAGCGTAACGCTCTTCCGTTGCATTTTCACATATTTACAGTCTAGTCGCGCATAAAGAAGTTTTACTTAAAAAATTTGGTAATTCAGAAAACTGTAAAAAAATTAAACATGTGAGTAATTTGTAAAAAAATATTGAAATAGTCATAATTTTGAAATAAAAATAATATAGATTAATTTTCTTTATTAATTAATTAAATAATATGAGTAATAAGATTATCACTTGATCAAATTTATGCAAACACTATGAGAACACTTTCCATTGAAAATATAAAGAAATACCTGAAGAAGTCGTAATTCTGCAATTTACTTATAAATAATAAAATAAATTTATATAATGTTTCATAAAAAAATATTGAAATCGTTATACTTTTAAATTAAAAATAAAAATTATATGTGTAATTTTTCATATTAATCGTAGGTTTATGTGATGTAATATATAATGCTATATAATATAAAGATTACAATTACGTACCAGTAACTTAAGCTCCAGCAATAAATTTTGTGAGGTTTGTATTTAGTATTAATTTCTGGAGATCATAGATAAGTTTTTTTTCAAATTCACTATTCTATTAATATACTAAATTTCACAAATAGTCGAAAAGCAATACTATTTATTTAGTTACTATTACAAATAACGCTTGCCTAAGGATCAGAAACACATATAAATTATATTTCTATCAATGCAATTTATTGTAATTTACTATCACCAACATCGACTACATTTAAATCTTATTTTGATAAGCAAGCAAGCAAAAGCTAGCGAGAAAATTGCCATTTTTTAAAATTTCATTACATTCAACAATTTTGTTGAGAAATTGCTACTGAAAATCCACAAAAATTTAATACGCCACTGAAATAAAATTCCACATGTTTGCAAATTCATTAAGCTTGATGTTTATGTTTTTATTATAATTATTATAAATAAGTTAAAACAAGACTTTATATATATTATGTAACATAATGATTTACAACAATTTTATAATATTATGTATTGATCAATAATTGACAGAAAATTAATACACGTTGATTTTAATCTATAAATTTCGTATAAAATCAGTACGAAAAATATTCATTAGACAAAACGGATGGTCATTATTTGTTATATGTAAACTACACACTGCCCCGGATTTCAGTGGCTATAGGTTGACAAACATAGCCAATTTAAATGAATTATATTTCAAAGAAAAAGAATGATTGATAATATTTAATAACCAGCCAATTCGGCGAATGTAGAGTCCATTTCGTCGGCCAAGCTCTTGTATCTGTCTTTGTTGATGCCCAATTCGTCTAGAAAATGAAATACAATAATTAGATAATTAATTCACATTAATAGATTTTATAGCAAAAAAAAATAAATTCAAACAGCATTTATGAGGTGTTAGAAACTCATTCTCAATGTGTATATTGAATGTAGAGTACCTAAACAAAATCATGTTTCATAAAAATTGTAAAAATCGTACTGCATTATTAAGTAGTTGACTTACGACATTTCAATAAAAAATGCCATAATTTACTTGTATAAAAATTTGAAATATATGAATGTATATTACAGGTCATCTGTTATATAGAGATAAGTATGTGATATATTAATAAATTCTGTGTTTTATTATTTTGGCTATGCACATTTAGTGGTAACTTATCCAATATTTTTTGGCACCACACGTCTTAGCAGAGTTCATTAAACGACGCCAAGACCAAATAATAATGATATTCTATATATTTTGTGTTAACTATTAAAATCAATTTGATGCCTTGATATAATCATGGAAACCATCAGTGATACCCCGCATTACGTACTTAATTCGTCCCGGAGAAAGTTCGTTGTGCAAAAAGTTCACTATGCAAAATGCGTTTTTCCATACAAATACGTGGAAATAAAATTAATTCGTTCTGTAGTTTGAAATGTAGTCATAGAAAATAAGATATATTTTACATATTATTAAGACATTTAAAAAAATAGTACTGATTTACAAAATAAGTAATTATCAGAGTGGTACTGCTTTTTTTGTGACCTTTTAGCTTTTAAAAAAAATGTAGATAGTTTTTTTCTAAAAGTATATTTTCACCGCGGAGCAATAATTTCCAAGATCCACTTTTTGAATTAATTTTGAGCAACATACGTTTTTTGACTACAAATGGCAACGCTTTAGTATGTTGTGTGAAGCAAAATTATGCGCAACTGTTCTTGATATACTATAAAGTTATCCTTCAAGACCTTTCATCCACTTCAAAAATTTTTTTTTTCACGAAAATTATTCTTTCACATTATACAGAAGTACTACCATAATAAACCGGATAATTGAATATTATGTTTTTTTCGATTGACGAAATGAAGTTACTAATATTAGGTAATAAAAGAAAAAACGAACACTAATATCGGCATTTCATTTGCGACATTTTTTCCTTAAATTTCTCAAGTAAAACAATTATATTCACGATCGTTTAAATTTGACACCTCTAAATTTCCAAAAGTCATATCTAGTAGAAAAAAAGAAACAACTATTTCTGAAGAAATTTAATAGCTGCGTTAGAGCTCATGTCCGATGCATTTTCATTTTCAAATATGTATCTACTCAATGTTTTTCTGAAATTAAGGTGATATAAGTCCCGAATCAGTCGAGAACAAATCTCGGATTTACACCTTGCGCCCCGGATTTATGTAAAAGCAATATTTGTTCCGGATTCAGGTTTTTCGTTCCGGATTGTCCCAAATTATTGCAAATAAATGAAAAAAAACCTTCTAAAAAGGATAAATTTGTGTAGGTCTTTCAATATAAAAAAAATGTTTTCAGTGATTCTGATTACTAAATAGTAGGGGCTGTAGAGGCTTAAAAAATCTATTTTTTTTTTTGCAAAGATATCTTCAAAAACTAGCCAAGAATATATATCTTTCGGTTATTCATTTTTTCGATTTTATTTAATTGGCGGGAAATAGAAAAAAACTGAACGTCCTATCAAAACAAGACAGAATTGATTGCATTCAGTATTAAATTCTCTTCTAGTTGAACCTAAAAAACCTTAAAAAAATGTTATATTTAACCCAATTTTAAACAATCTAAAATGATTTTTTTTATCAAAGAACTTGATTTTCTTTTTAAGTTGTGTAAAATTGGTGAATTTCTCTTTTTTCCTGGATTTTTTAGGTTTAACTGGAATCTATACTACTGAAAATATCAATTGTTTTTTTTTTGTTTCGAATGGAAATTGTGACCTGTATCTTTTGCGTCAAACGACACATGCACGCATGTGGCGCCTAAAAATTTCTCAAAAAAGCTATTTTTTAAAGCCTCCAAAGCAGACTTCCCCCTTAAGTTATACAACTGAAGGCCCTGCTACAATTTTTCGTCTCGGATTTGAATTAAAATAGTATGATCACCTTATGATATATCAATCCTGAAGTGCATGTTGATTATGGACTTAACTTAATAAACTAATAAATATTAATATAAAATTAGAAGTCAAGCAACCATAATTCAAGCAAAAGTGTGTTATTAAATACATCTACAAGCATTAGTATGTTTCATCTACTGTATTAACAATAACACCATGTGAGTGTTGGTAGAAAGGAGTTTACTGTGGAAATAGTGGACGATTTAATTGAATTTTGTAGTGTTCTCTGTTTCGTGTGATCCATGGGACATAGAATTAGCAATCTACTATTATTATCAGCAGAGATACCTTTGCATTACGACATTGCGGAGCGATGCTTTAATCGGCCGAGCAGCTGTAGCTTTTGTTATTTAGTAAACACAATATCGATTGCAAAGAACACATTTGACGATACATTAGAGGAGGATAATTTGATGAAAAAATGGAGAGAAGAATAAAACTACCAGTCCAAGAATTAGCAAAAATCTCAGAGATAGTAACGGATATAAGTAAATATAGAAGGCTATGTCATTCAAATTTGAAAAGTTATTAATCTTGCATAGTTTACTTGCAATCTTGCTTGAACTGGCTAAAGAAAATTTACAATTTTGAAATACAAATGATGAATTTAAAATTGTAAATCGTTCTCTGACTGACGTTTGAAAGCAAAATTGAAGACAAAGTAAGATATAAATAAAATTGAAATGACATGAAAAAAAATTAATAATGACCGAAATATGTTACCGGAGAAACAAAATTTTATTTCCAATGAATTAGATTCGAAGATCGAATTTATGATATTTCGAAAGAATTTTTTAAGTGAAAGAATGAAAAAGATGTAGGTTTTGGTTGCAGATGAGGTCTTTTGGAAAGGTAGAGAAAGGAGGCTTTTGTTAGTATCCAGTAAGCTCGGCGAAAGTTTGATCGAGATCTGCGCAGATCGATTTGTATTTCTCTTTCTCGTGGAATAGTTCGTCTGGAAAGATAGCACACAAATCTCTAAAAGCACGAACAAGGACAAACGACATGGAATCATATGTGTATCGACAGAAATAATTAATTTTAATAATATTTGCTTTAAGATCATCATTTTTCAGCCCAGACGATAGCAAAATTATAACAGGTTCAAAAGCCAATAAGAAGATGATGATGGGATACGATTTCGAAACGCCTACGTCTAAGTTTCATATATTATTTGAGATATTTTGATAGTACACTTAAGAACATTTGATGTTAAAATTTTTTTCATATTGCAATATATTTATTCAAACAATTAAGAAAAACGTTAACATTTAGGATATTTAGGATATTGCAGAGATCTATTTCACAACTAAATGAATTAAATTGTTTTAAAATTTTGCCATGTTATTTCAGACGTATTGATGGTAGAATTTAGAAAATTTGTAGATTTAATTCAAACGATTCATTTAAATATTAACATTCATATTACAAATGATATTATAAAATTTTTAAATATATTCCAACTATAACAGTTAATATCATAATGAGATCAAATTTCAGAACTACGCGAACTAAATTAGATTCTAATTTTGTTATGTTATTTGAGAAGTTTAGAAGATTTGTAGATTAAGGTTCTCTTATATTGTAATATATTAGATATAATAGCAATTAAAAATATATAATATTAATATTTGTATTAAGATAATAAAATGAAAATAAAACAGATATTACAAATATAATTTTTAATATTACCTATAATGATGAGTTACGATTTTGAAACTACGTCCAAAGAAAATTGAATAAAATTTTGATATGTTATTTGAGATATTCTGATAGTAGAATTTACATTTTTTTAGTTAAAACTTCTCTTATGCATTACTATGCGTTATTATAATATTTAGGAAAAATGTGATTTTAACATTCGTATTGTTACAGCTTTTCCTTACAATTATAATTTCTTTAACATAATGATGAGATACCATATACGATTTCAAAATTTTGTCCGAAACGAGAATTACATGAAATACTAATTTTGCTATGTTATTTGAGAAAATTTGATAATAGAGTTGAAAAAACTTGTAGTTGAAAGTTCTCTTATATTGCAATATACTTAATACAACAAGTTATAAAAAATTAACATTCTTATTGCGGATTTTATAATAAAAATAAAACAGATATTCCAAATACAACTTTTGATATCGATTTCGAAACTCTAACGAAAACTAAATGAAATTCTATTATTATCCACTTATATGAGAAATTTTGATGATAGATTTTAGAAATTTTTTAGTTAAAAGTTATCTCTTATTGTAAAATATTTATTAATACAATTAAAAAAAAGTTTATATAAAAAAGCAGATATTTCAACTATAGTATTAAAAAATAAAACACTAATTTTGCAATGTAATTCTAAAAGTTTTGATAGTAGAATCAGAGAATAATATATTTATTGCACCAATTAAGAAAAATGTGATATTGGCGTTCGTACTGCAAAAAATATATCATATTAAAAATAAAACAGATATTTCAAATATAACTTTTTATATCATGTTAATGAGATATAATTTCTAAACTATCTCTAAGAATTAAATTATATTCTGATATTTTTAGAAAAAAAATGAGCAATTTTTATAGCAGAATATAGAAAATTTGTACTTAAAAGTTCTCTTATATTGCAATACATGAGAGATATGAGAGGTAAATATATTACCAATTTTATATGATTATATCAAATATAATTACATTTTATATAAGAAACGAAGAAAATAAATTATTAATAAATAAATTTTATTGTCAGGGAGATGCAATAATAATTATTCGATTTAAAGGAAGTGTAATTATACGAATAAGATTATTAATATATATTTAATTAATATATTTAATATATTTCAACAACTAATATATATTAATAAATATTTAATATATATTTAATATGTAATTACGTATTACAATACGAAATTGTTTCTGGAAATTTTAAATTGTTGGTTTTGAATTTAGAAATACAATCATATAAAAAAAAGTTTTGTCATATGTAATTTTCATACTGAATGAAATTGGTATACAAAGTAATTAACAACTTCATTGGTAAACGGTATATTATTACGCTTAGGAGGAAAAGCTTGAATATCTAAACATGTATAATTAAATGGATCAATTTTTTTAGATACAAAAATCGTTTGGCATAAAATGCATTTGTAACGAAGCATACTAATAAGGTGTCGTCCATTAATCACGTGAGCGAGTTTTTGAGGATTTTTGGATTCCCCCTCCCCCTTGGGAATACATGGTGATATTCAAAATTACCACCCCTCCCTCACCAAACATCACGTGTATTTATAGTTACGTGAAAAAACTGTGAAATTTTTTATTCTTTTTTAAAAATGTTTGATTCTTTTCATAAAAATCAGTTAAAAAATAAATACCCGTGATATCTTACTCCCAACGTGATTTTTCGTGATTTTTTGTCTAACCCCCCTTTCCCATAAAAACCTCACATGATTAACGGACGCCCCCTAAATGGTAATATGAATGACTGGACAAACTTCTTAAAAAACGCGAAAGTGACGTCCAAAAATGAAATTTACTATTCAGGTAACGACCACGAAAGATGTTGAGTGAAATTTGAGATGTTCGGCTATCCGGGCGCATATGATGCGAGCGGAACTAAATTTACATCGAACCAAAATAAACTTGTTAACGATCCGCAATGTCGGCTGGGCCGACGTAGTTTCGTAACGGTTGCGAATACAAATATATATTATATTAAGAGACCAGAAGCCGAAACAAAACACACGATACACGAATAATGATTCCATGACACATTTTACATAACTACTATAAGCATAGAACTAACATTCAAAGCTTACCAAATGCAAAAGGAAACAGAAAATTCTACAACTGCGCTATGTGGTTTTGCAGAATACGTTTTCGTATCTCACCGTGAGAGATATATGACACTAGTTGGGTGGATTTATTTTTAAGAACTGTGTCACACCTAAATATATAATATTGTCCAACCACCGTTTCACGCGCATTCCGAGATCATTTTACTTCATTAATTTCAAATGTCAGAGCTTTATGTTTGAGAAATGACGGTAGACACTTAAGTAATTGCTTAGCAAAATTTCACCTATTCGAAAACTTACTACAAGACAGATAGTATTTAATATAAAATAGACCCATATGTCAAAATAAATTCAATTACTTCTGAAAGTTAGCAAGCAGATGTGGGTCCTCTGATTTTTTTCAGTTGAAAGTAATTTTCCTTCGTTTGTTGCTTAATTGGCATAGTTAATCCGTTAATCCGACAAATATAAAGGATGATATCGTGACGGATTAGTTCTGGTACTCACAAAGCTTTTGTATTATTTGAAAAAAATATTTTATTCAACATAAGTAACCTCTATATTTATCTATTAAAATTCATGTCTTTAAAATTATGCAACAAGTTAGAAAACAACGGTTTTATAACAGACTTCAAAATTATACAACAAATTAGAAAAGAACGGTTTTATAACGGATTAGCTCAAAAATTTACTCGCTAGCTCAAATTAGTATTCAAAATTTTTCAAAAATTATTACAATTTTTTTTGAGTAAAAAGGCTTCTTTAATCCGTCCTTCAGATCGCGGTTTTCGAATTTGTTGCATATTTCAAAGTATTGAATATTGATAACTGAATATAAAGAATTTCATGTTGAATAAAATAATTTTTCAGAATTATGTACAACAAATGTGTAATTTAGCAATTATAATGGATTTTCACATTGAACAAAAAAAAAACATTTTCAAAATAGGTACAAAAAATGTTTGAGTATCAAAGCTAATTCTTCATTAAGACCGTGGTTTTCTAATTTATTGTATAATTTTTACAATTATTAATTTTGATATACAAATGTCAAGGATTTTCAAGTTAAATAAGATATTTTTTTTTAAATTATGTACTAGAATTTTTTGAGTATCAAAGCTAATGCGTCATTAAGACCATTGTTCTCTAATTTATTATATAATTTTAAACTTATTAATTTTGATAGCCGAATATAAAGGATTTTCACAATTGAATGAAATAATTTTTCTCAATTACATATATACAAGAAATTTTTGAGTACCAGAGCTGATGCGTCATTAAAACCGTTGATTTCTAATTTGTTATATAATTAAATATTAATTATTATTAAAAAATTATTATATATATAATTAAATTAAATATAATTTTAAAGTATTGAATTTTGATAAATATTTATAAAGAATTTTCACGTTGAATAAAATATTCTTTTTAAAATAGGTACAAGAAATTTTTGAGTAACAAAGCTAATTCGTCATTAAGACCGTTATTTTTAATAAGTAACGAGTAACTAATTATAAAGGATTTTCATGTTGACTAAAAATTTTTTTCAAAATTATGCACAAGAAATTTTTCAGTTCAAAACCTAATCCGTTATTATTACCGTTGTTTTATAATTTCTTCTTTAATTTCAGTCTTGAATATAAAAAATGTTTACTTTGAAAAAAATAATTTTTCAATATTATGTACAAGAAATTTTTGAGTACCAGAACTAATCCGTGGTTTTTTAATTTATTAAATAATTTTAAAGACATTAATTTTGATAGCCAAATATGGAGAATTTACACGTTGAATAAAATAATATTTTCACAGAATGTGCAAGAAATCTTTGAGTATCAAATGTGACCGTGGCTTTCTAATTTGTTCTTAATTTTGAAGTCCTTAATTTTGATAACTCAATATAAAGGGAATTTCACATTGAATAAGATATTTTTTTCAAATTAATATTTTAATTTCATGTAAAACTTATGCTTTTACTTGAAATTTTTGGGTTATAAAAAATTAGGATTTTGAAATAAGAAGCATACTACGTATTATATGCAAATAAATATAAACACATTGCAATGAATCGTAGCAATAAAGTCACTAAAAAAATTATTCCCGATATTCCCAATTACAAATATTAGTTTAAATGTATTGTTAACTTTAAAATACGCCTACAGTCTAAACAATTATTCAATAATTAAAATCTTCAATTTATAAAAAGATCAATGTCGATCGATTCCAACGATGAATTCATCATATAAAAGTTTCTTACAATAATATATCGCGTCTTAGCTCTATTTTTGACTTCCACATAGCGCAGAGCGCGGGATTCGAAATGTAAACACGAACAAGACATTCCGACTATTTTTAAACTTACAGTAAATATATCTCAAAAATCAGATCTATGTGACAATATAAGGGAAATCGGAACAAGAAGTAATATTGATCGGATGACTTACCTTCCAGCCTGTCGACTTCCTTTTGCAGTTTCTTGACGGTCTTTTCGGCGAACTCGGCACGAGCTTCGGCTTCCTTGTGTTTGACGGTCAAAGTCTTCAATTGGCGTTTGAATTCTTCTACTCTTTGGTTGGCCTTTTCTTCGGATACTTCTAAAGATTTCAAGGAGTTTCCTACAACCTTGGATAATATAATAAAATCAATTAATATATGTAATAAACACAAAAATCTAACAATATGCTTAAGATACATAACAGCCATATAATAAGGTGCCTTAAGGGGCATTGAATTAATATAAAAATTTATTTACACAATCGTTAGAAGATTCAGCCGAGTAAAAAAAAAAAATTTCAAGTTAAAATTATGATATGTTATGCTAAATACTATTCGAAAGATAGATTATTTTGAACTTTTAAATAGTTCTTTTCCAATCATTTCCAAAATAACTAAATTCAATTCTTTAAAATCTGCTTGTGTCTTGCTGAATTGAATTTTGCGTTGAACCTAACTCAAAGATATTTGAATAGGATTTAGCTATTGAACTTATTTTTGTAAAAAATAGTGTTAATTATAAAGAGATGATGCATATAATGGTTTACAGTACGATAACCAAGTTCTCTAAAGAATCACCTGCAAACTTTGTCTACCAAATCTTATGTAATATTTACATTGTTGGCTAAGATTTGAGATCCTGTTCGTTAATGATGTAGCGCAAACAATTCACGTGCCAAAATACAAATTTAAATGATTCGGAACATAGCTATATAGCTCTACAAAGGTCCATTATTTTTAAAAATAGAATTTAAATTAAATATAGATTTATCAGATGAGTACAGTTCAAGAACCTATATAAATGGCTCTATTAGAGTTCTAAATAAAAATAATTAGAATTAGAAATTTATTATTTTTTTAATATTTTGATTAATTTCTCTTTAATAAATAATTTTAATACGCTTTCAGTACAGAATTAGTACCGGCTATCATGAGCTTATTTAAAATTCAAAATTTAAAATGAATCTAATTTTTATCTATTATTAATTTCTAATAAGTGTTTTTCTATTTTATTGAAACAACATTTAACACTAAATCAGTAATTATAATTGTTAAATAAAAAAATTAAATAGCAGTCAAAGACATAACTCTGTGACCACCCATAAAATACCTTCAATTCTTCTTCCAACTCCATGATCTTGCTGTCACCTCCCTTAACACGGTCTTCAGCTACTTCAAGTTCATCTTCAACGAAGGCCAACTTGCGTGAAACTTCATCAGATTTACCATCAGCATCTTCAGCCAAGAGACGTGCTTCCTTCAATTGGTTGGTCAATTGGTCCATTCGCTCTTCATCTTGTTGTGAGCGGTTCTCCAATACTTTGCACATACTGAAAATAGAAAAAATAACAATGAATACAATAAAAAATACATTTTTTTAATAGTTTTGATATATCAACATTTATATAAAAATATGTCGGGTTTTCCTTCTGACGATATAACTCCAGAACGCACGAACCGATTTCGACAGTTTTGCATTTGTTGGAAATGACTCGGGCTCCGCAAGGTTTATAGCTAAGAAAATTAGGGGTGCATGGCATCGTGCCCCAATGCAAATTGCTGGAACTTCACGCACCGTAATTAAAAATTCGAGTAATGACATTTGTGAGAATTATCAGAATTATGCTTGGTTAAGTCAACGAGCAATTTTTGCCGCAAAGAATAATGATGTACACGCACTGAATTTCACCATTCAATCAAAAATTGCTGGCGATTTGGTGACATACCAATGTTTCCGACTGGTCTTCCGTTTGACTTCAAACGATTGTAATTTCCAGTTCGTCTTGCGTTTGCAATAACAAGTCACAAGGCCAATCGCTTAGTGTTTGCGGGATAAATTTCAAATAGATTATTTATAAAATCATTGTTTTGCACATGGGCAGTTATACGTTGCCTATTCACGAGTTGGAAAACCATCCGCTTTGTTTGTGTTAACGTCAGACCAAAAAAAAAAAATGTGGTTTACCAAAGAGCACTTCAATGAAACGGATAATTGCGGATTCACTTTCATTTACTTAGAGAAGTTCAACTAAAAACACTTCATTTTTGTAATCGAAATAAATTCATTACTGTTGTATAATAAAATCAATTTTTCCCTTTTCAAATATAAAACAAACAAAAAATTTCTTTATCTTTCTCACGAAATCATCTGGTGACGAAACGGTGTTCGTCGGGTTTGCTAGTCATTTCATATAAGTTGCAGGACTGATCCAAAATAAAACTTATATTTTAAGTATCTGCATACTTAGAATATACTTATTTGTAAATCTACTATTGAAGCATAAAATTTCACATCATATAAAATCAAATCGGTTTTAGATGCGTTATATTGTGAAAATTTGTTTGTTATTTGGTTACAATTAAGTATCTGACTTTATATTTATCATTTTTATAATGTCGTCTTTGTGCATAACCTTTTTCCATTTCTCAATTTTTTTCTGCATTGACTTGAACTCTACCAGAACGCAATTCAATCACTTGATTCTATTTTTTATTAGAAATTTTGATAGTACTAATTTTAAATAATAATTAGTAATAGAAAATCAGACTGTATATGCATATTCAGAATATGTGCACAAACACATCAACAAGAAATCATCTTACTATTGAGTTAATTTATGTATAAGTGCTTAATGAAGTTAAATTATTAGAAATTTAAAGTAAATTCAAGAAAAATGATTTAATGAAAATAAAATGCTTTATAAAAAAATTATAAATGAGATATTAAAAATAGGAAGTTTTATAATGAGCAAAAGAAAATTCAAGCAAATATAGAGATATTAATTATTAATTATACATCTACTGATAAAAGTTCAAGAACGAGTAAACAATGTGTTTATTCATTTTGGTTAATATGAAGTGATTAATATCTTCATTTATAATTATTTTATTACCGGTTGTTTTCATCGGCAGCTTGTGTGGCTTCAAGCAATTTGGTGGTAGCGCTTCCGGCACGTTCTTCAGATTTTTCCAAATCTTCTTCAATTTGTTGCACCTTCCTGTTGAGTGCAGCCACTTCAGACTCGGTGGCGGTCAAGGTCTTTTCTTTCTCTTCGAGATCCTTATTGGCTTGCTCCAAGTTGTTCTTGTTCATGGCCAAGTCAGCTTCGACTTGTCCGAGTTTCTTGATCAGTTCACGAACCTCCTCGTTTACCTAGAGAGAAATATCTATTAGAACATATAAGAAAACATATGATGCAATGGTTCTAATGGAAATTTAAAAATAAAATTTAACTTTGTTCGTACATCAAATTCTGAAAGAACTATATTTATTCATAGTCCAGTCATTTATGCTTAAATAAGGTAAGAATCTCGGAATTCGAGATGACCAGCTGTAAGTACTTGTATATTGACACCCTAAAGTTGTCTCAAAACCTACATATGGTAGGATGTCAATACCTATGTAGGTTTTGAGACAACTTTAGAGTGTCTATATACAAGTATTTACAGACTCACAGCTGGGTATCTCGAATTCCGAGGTGAACTTACTATAATGACTGGACTATCAGTATGAAGTTTTTTTTTAATATTATTATTTCCACAGCAATCAGAAATCTTACTTTTATTAATGTTCTATAAGCTGTTTATGTGTATGACTTATGACCTAGGGTATTGATATGAGAAGCAACCCATCGGTTCATCATTCTCCTATATGTGGTTTTTTTTTATATTAGCTCTTATGTCTAATAGTGTGCATATGATTGTATGATGCAACTATGTCCACGAAGGACGATTTCCACTTGGAATTATATTGTGATCTATAACCCCAAGTGGAAATTTGACATCAAAGTTGCCTGATGTCAGGCTTGGCGGTAGCGGCCACCGCTAGCCCATCAGTATGAAGTACATCATTGTTTTACTAATTAATTCAACTTCTATTTTGCAGTTTCAGATATTTATCATATGTACTATTTTATTACTAGTAGATACGTCGCTGTTTGTATCTACTAATATTTTTCACGCAAGTTGGCCATCTAATCAAAATGTACTCTTTTTTCTAGATATTATTCAAAGTCTTCTGGGTATGATTCGATATGGGTTTGTATAAAAAGATTGCAGAATTAAGTTAAAATCAGAACAAATTTATTTATTTCACAGCATGTGAAAGAATTTGCTCCATAATCATATAAAATAAAAATCTCAACTAATTTGCTTAGATGGCCTTGATCATAGGTAAGGAAAGCCCTTGGTAATCTCAAATGATTGAAGTGATTTAGAAGTATTTTCTAAGTATATTTTTAAATTTACCTTTTCTGCTCTCAAGTTGGCATCTTTAGCTTGTTGCTCGCAGGTGTCAGCTTTATCCATAGCATTATCCTTCTCAAGCTTCATCGCTTGCATCTTCTTCTTGATCGCGTCCATTTTGGAGGTTTGTGTTTTTTGCGACTACGGAGGAAGAGACTCTGGCTGCAAAAATAATAATAAAATCAATAATGAATTTTTTTTATATTAAAAAAATTATCAATTAAATAAATCTTTTTTTATATTATTTTTAATTTATTAAATAGCACATAAAAACAATTGTAGATTATTGAGTTGAATTTGGAGAAATTTAATAAAATTGCATAGTTAAATGTCGTAATTGAATATAAACAATTTGCAAATTGTTTGAATTTAGTTAAGAATAAAATTTAAATACTATAACAAAAATTGCAAGAAAAATTATATTTAAGTGAATGTAGGTTGGAATCATCGAGAGACTACATCAGACTGAAGTCAATGCTTTGGTCAACTACATAAAAGGTAATTCAAATAACAAGGTGTAATCATTCAAAAACCAAGATTATAAAATAATTCTAAAATATTTACATTAAATATGGACGTTTGATTAAATTGATTGTATGACTCAAAAAAACATAATAATTGTTTAAAACCATGATTATAGGAAATCTATTATACGATATTCCAATAGACGATGATATCACTTAAATTTAGAAATATTTCATAAATAATTGAATGTAAGGAAGTATTTTATCATTGTTTTATTAATGGTGTTTTATCAAAGGCATGTGTTTAAGTATGTTTAAATATAAACGAAATAGTTTCACAAACAGAACGGGTACGAATTTGTATGTGTGTCCGCATCTGTAATATTAAACCGGCGCGAGCGGTTGCGCGGATGAATAAGTTTAATAGAAAATGCGTAGGTCCAGCTTAAGTCCCGAAATAGCTGCTACCAAGTATAGCAACGGGCGGGATTCGTGAACTAGAAAGCGTAACAAAACAATATCTGATCAAGATATTGTCATCCTTAATAACGATGATCTTATCTGATCATCTGATTTATCAATTAATTTGTTTGAGACACACTTTTGATTACAAATTGTTTAATGCCACACGTTGAAATTTGAATCACATCATTTTGACGACCCATTTTTTTAGAACTAAATTAATTTTTTTTACTTCAGAGAAGAGGAATTTAGATTTTATAGTTGCACTAAAAAAATGATTATCATCTACACTTCAATATTTGAATCTCAGCGCACATAGATATTTTTCTTCACTCTCACTTAAATGACCAATTGCTGCAGGTTAACACTCCTTCTTTTTACAATATTTTTAAATAATTTGGAACAAAAAAAAGCTAATTTTGCATTAACAAAATCACCAGAAATATCCAACCTACCTTGCGCCTTTAAAAGACTTCGCGAGAATAGATACGCGGCAGCACTGCGAGAAGTTCAGCTTCAAGATTTTACCGAGCCTAGGCTATGGGCGTGGATATCCCTCTCAAAGATCCTGGTGAAATAAGAACCGCCTACAATTCAGATACATCCACTCACACCACTACACTAATCACTAACACCAGGCTAAAATTTACCAACACCAACAAATCAATACTACCACATTCAAATATTTTCACCAATACCACTAATTTTCTTACCAATACTTCGACTGGTCCACAAACACAAAGAAACTGCTAAACCAATACTAGAAAATTTCCGACAACCACTACTGAAACCTGGTGACTAGCATTTAAGCAGATCACAGTTGTGTTCAGAAAAGGAGCAGATGGGAGTTTTGAAGAAATTCTTTGCGAATTGGATCTGAGTAGAAGCGTCTAAAGTTAATAATATCCCAGCGTATCCCCAAATGATATTTCAGATCAAAATTTTGTTGTTCGAAAACTGACGCTATTAACAATTTTTGATCCATAATTTTTGACTGAAGCAATACATAAGTGGTCGATATAGTATTAACAACGGCGCTTTCATAATTGTTATTATTTCCTTTTAAGTATTCTATAATTAAATCGCAAAGCTTTAAAGCTTTAGGCTTTAATTAAAGCATTACTTAAAAAGAAAACAATAACAATTTTAAAAGTGCCAATTTTTAATACTATATCGACCACTTATGTATTGCTGTTCCCAACGCCAATAATTGAAGTGCAAAAATAGTTTATAATAAATTTATAAAACAGCATGTCTTAAAAGTTTCTCCCAAATCTGCAATTTTATATATTTCCAAAAAATACCAAAAGGCCAGAATTAATTATAACTTTATAGGTATTTGGTTTCAATATATATTACGTGCTTACTTTAATTATGTTTTGACGTCAATTATTCAGCTATCAACATTACCAAAAAAAAATTATGAGTATCTGTATTAAGTCATACAGAGCTCTTAAATGTAATAACTCAAGTTACAATCCAGATTAAATGCATTCTAATGAAGAAATAAAAATTTTAACTACGCAAATCCATTTCATTTGAGAGAGAAGAATAAACAATGGTAACAAAATGAGTAATATCCAAAATAAATTCAATTTATGATGTTGTTACAATGTATATGCATGCATAATTGTTTATCAGTTTCAAAATAAACTGATATCCAAACAAATCGTGACTGAATGAAGCGAATATCAGCTGCGATTATAAAATGCTTCACGAAATAAACTGTTAGCTAGAAGTTTGCTAAAAACATATTGGCTACCTCCTACACAAATACCGGAGCGGTGTATCTATTCTGGGAAACTATTACCAACGCTGTTGGCCCTGGTTTCCATGCTCAAATACTGCGGAGAGCTAAAGCGCTCGGGTTGCTGATCAGCCAACACCCACAACTCTAATTAACAATTAATTGCTAAACAAATTATTAGGCATAAATTTCAGGCTAATGAGTATGATCTCGTACCAATCAAAACGTCTAGGTAACGATACTTGTTCGTAGCAAAAGGACGAATTGGAAAGTAATTTAGCGTATAAACATAAATAATTCATCAATAACTGAATTAATTTTATTGTTTATAATACTGATAACATTTTTGGATTTATTATGCAAATTAAATTATGCCGGGCCCAAAAATTATGCAATTTCTTACAACTTGTGGAAAATCTTTCCTAAGTGCTCGCTACCATTCCATACCATCGTATGGGGGTAGCTACTATGTTACTACTATATTACTATATTGAACAGTTACAAATGGTTGTAACAAATAGTTATCCAATAAAAATAATGGAAACTAGTGGGCGCATGGCATCGTGCCTTAAGGCAATTGCTGAAACTTCCCGTACCAAAAATTATTTTTTTTTTAAAAAGATTAACATTGTTGAAAAAAATTTACTTCGAACAAATTAGATTTTTGAGAAACTATAAATTTGACAAAAAATTACTTTTTTTGAAAAAAAAATGTTTTCTTTATTTTGACATATTTTGCAAATTCTGAACATTTTTTCAAAGCAATCGTACTGCTTTAACTGCATAGAGACGATGTGTCAAAGCGCGTTAGCGCCGCGTCGCCGTCTAACGGATAAACATTGGTACGGAGCCTATAGGAATGTAAACAAAATTAACACTTATTATTAAAATCTCTGTAAAATATCTGATAATTTGATGTGCATATGTCTAATAATCATCTTTGACCGCCCAATGGCAAAGTGAAATGTTTTTTGAATTATTAAAATCTGACGCTCCGTTCTCTTAAAAACCGAGTTACCATTTTCGGCACTCTTTGCCCCGTATCTTCGAAATGGCTAGACCTGTCTTCGCCAAAAACTAATCAGCACGTCTCCTTACCAATACAAATCGAATAACACACATACACACATACATACATCCATTTTTCTAAGGTATGCCAAAATATTCAGAAACCTCTGAAACGTAAAGATATATAAAAATTTTCATTTTCGATTTTTTTGCGATTACTATAACTTGCCCTACGGGTATCCTATCGGTGATCATATTTTTAACGAACAATTTTTGTTTTTTTTTTTATTAAAATGCAATCAAAATTTAAGAGTCAAAACTCAATCAGAACTATAACAGTTGTGATGATACTTTTTAAATACGTAGCTTTGAGTCTATCTGCATATTTCATATATTTCTATTAGAAGTTTTCTTATACTGCATTTTTTAATTTGTTGCAGCAAGGCTATTTTCACTTGCAAACATATTTCCATCTACATTTTCAAGTAAAAACTGATATCACTACTACGTGATTTAAAATCAGGCTGTCCAAAGAGAGTATGATAGGTGAATTTTTGGACTGCAAAGCTTAAAGCCTTATCACAGAGATACAAAAAATTTTGGTGAATAATAAAAAATGGAAACCCAATTTTTATTAGATCAGGTTATTTTTAAAATATCTGAAATAAACAATTTTAAAAATTATTATCAATTAAAAAAATAAAAGAAGTCCAAAAATAGTGTTAAATAAAGTAAAGGTTTTTCCTTACTTTATTTTGCGTAAGCAAGTTTGTTATAAAACTTGCACGTTTGTTTTCATTATTTAATCAGCGAATCAAATTTTTATCTAGCTGCACAAACACTGGTTTCCAACCTTTTCGCACCGCGCTCCCTCCCCGTTTTTTTTTTTTTTGAAAACCATGGACTTACTGCGATGCAAGAAATTTAACAAAAGTTTGGTTACAACCTATATATTAAACTACAAATTTTCTCTAAATGTATTAATGTTAAATTGCTCAAATTGTTTCATCATAACAATTTTAGACAACCAAAAACCATAAACCATAAACCCTGTAAATAAGAATCAATAAGAGTCAAACATTTTATAAACAGTTTTTATTTCTTATCGAATTCGCAATAATTATGTTAAAATTAATTATCAACCAAATCCTTAGGTCATTAAACATCTAATTTCATAAAAAAATCTCAAAGCAAGCGTAATTACTACTTAATATTATAACGATTTTTTGTAATTTAGCATTCTGCAATTTACAATTTTTATAAAAAAAAGGTTTACTTATATCATTGAACTAGGTGTGTACAAGCACTTAAATTTCACTCTATAGCACATTATAAATAGAATGGAAGCTGACAACTGTTTTCCCATTTTTCAAAGAGGTATGTTAATTATCATTATAAATAAAGGATGGAATGTTATTATATGTTTTGTAATATTTAAATCTCTACACAGCCACTGTGTGTCTCTTATTGTGCCACACATTATTTTATCCCATAAAAGATCAGAAAATTTAATAAAAATAAACATCAAATTTAGAGGACAAGAAGCATGCAAATGAGCAATTTGAAAGAAAGTATGAAAGATAGAAATTATTGCAATGACTCTCATTAAAAGAATCGATATTAAGGCAAATAATGGCAATCAATATCCTGAAAGATCTGCGAACGTTTGGTCCATTTCATCCGCCATTGCTTTGTATTTGCTACGCTCCATTATTATTTCATCTGCAAATGTTAGTTATTGTTAGTTAAAATGTAAATAATACGAAGCATGCAATAGTTAGTATTCTAGTTATATCATAGAACTAAGTAATGCAAGTAATCCAATAAGTAAGTAGTGCAATAATCCAATAATATATTCGGTAAAAATTGCAGAACTCGTTCAAGACCCGAGTTTCTACTAATAATTAGAATTTGTGTGAGACAGGGAAAAAAACATTGTCAATTTCCGTAAATTCGAAAATAAAAGTTGACGATTTTTAAAGTAAAAAATTATTTGAACCATTCTTTAAATTGATGTATAAGGTTGTTCGGAAAGTCACTTCGTTTTTTTACCACCAAAATTTAACTATTATTTTTTTAACCTAACATCACACTTAAGGGGTTAGGGGTACTTGGAATTTTCGAAAAATCGATTTTTATTTTTTTGCATTTTCATTAAGTGTAATATCTTGAAAATGTTAACTGAAAATTTCAAGTTGATCCGATGATTACTTTTTGAGTTGTTGGACTCTTATCAGCGCGCTGACGCAAGTGGAGAGAGCTCGATACTTATGCTCAAGATTATTCTCCCTCACCTCCTAATGTTTTAAAAGCTTCTAAACCGATTTACGACGATCTCAGCAATGATAATTTACTTTCAAGATGTGTAGTTCAAGATTGAATCCATAATCAGAAAAAATTAAAAGCTTCAACGAACTAGTGTAAAAAAAATATGCCTAAAAACCGTGAATACTAGTTCTACTGTCGTACAAATTGCTGAATACATATACATAATCATTATTAATGATTATGGATACCCCAAGGACCTAAATTGTAGGTATAATTCCCATTGGTATGCTGAAAAATTGGATGCTGCACGTGTGAAAGTGGCAGATCAGCGCGCCAACGAGAACACTTGGGAGGCCAGAATGCTTCGTAGGCAACAGCAAATGGAAATTTAGGAAACTTGCACAATGACTGCTGAACCAGAAATAGATCACTCGGTTTAAGTAATTCAATAATTCGAATTTCTGTACATAAATCCAATGTGAAACTTTAAACGTGTTTTTCTCAAAACTATGTTTTCTAAACCGGTGACCACTGTAACTCAAAAACTGCTTAGTAAATTTTAATGAAATTTATACCGCTTTTATAATACATAATAAACTCGGGCCTGATTCTCCAGATCTACCATCATCGGACCAATATTTGACGGGCCATTAAAAAAATTTTTAGGCGGTAAAACCTCTACCCCAAATCACCATGTCAAAAAGCGCTTTGATCAGTTTTGGAATAATACAAAAGATGTTCGATCAAAACTGCCATACATAATTTATTAAAGTAATTGTTTATTGTACGAAAACTACGTGCCAAAATGTCTATAAAAAACGAAGTTACTTTCCAATATTATGTTAATTAACATAATGAACATTCGTTAGAAAATTGAACGCACCATCACTACCACCAATACCACCATCAATTTAAAAGTAAAGTAGGTTCAATTTATGAAATAGCAAGTAGTAAAATGCATACACCATCACCACCACCATTAATTTAAAGTAGTTGAGATAAAAGTAGTAAAACAAAATTTGTACTTTGCAACAAATTCAGTTACTCTTTCCCTATGAAATATTTTAATCACTTCATACCAAAATCGTTGTATTTAAATTGCAAATAATATACTTAATAATAAAACCAATTCCATAAGAACACTAATATATAGGTTGAAACGATATAAAACAATTACCAGAATGATAATAGAATATGCTAAAATACATTCACATCAAAATGCACTACATTCACAACCAAGAAATAATAAAACTCAATTAAAGAAATAATTTAAATAAATTGTAATTACATATTACATATACAAATGTATGTGTGAGAAAGTACATCAATAAAATATTAATATTAAAGGATTTTACATAGCGTAAGAAACATAAAATGATTCTTTAAATTTAATATGTGCACATGTTTTGAATAATAATTATTTATTTCCGCCTGAATTAAATAATACATATGTATACAATGATGTTGGGCTGCATAAATAGATGTAAGGCGCCCATCTGGCGTTGAGCACTTGTTGGAATCTATAATGGAATTAGAAAAATATAAATTAAATATAGAGTCCTGAAAAATAAAACTGTTAATGGGATTAAATTCACGCAAAATGCAGGATGTTATACAAAACATACCAGTAGGTCAGTAAAAAGTTTAGTAAGGATTTGATGGTGTTTGAAACGTTTTTGCAAACCATGGAGCAAATTGCTACCATGGAGAATTATTAGCATTATTATTGTTGCAAAGGATAATATTATTTATTCAATAACATTATCTATCATTAATTGATCAAATAGGCACCAGAGCCAATAAAAAGCATCAAATAAATATTTTGAAGTAAAGATACAAAAAAGACTTAAATTAATAGGATACTGATGTTTGCTCGATTAAACTTGAAATATTGATAAACCCAGGTAGAGAACTAAAAAAAGCAGTTTACTCGTTAATGGTACTTTTTAACATTGCATTGCAACCTATAATCGCAAAAAATCTCTATATTCGTGTTCATAATTAGAAAGTGAAGATAAATATTGGATATTTTTAATAAATATTGATTCTAAGTGAAAACAAGTCCCTCTTTTTAGTAAATTTTTCTAGTTAGCCCTATGCATATCAAATAAAGGATAGTACTACGATTCAAGTCTTCAAACAGGACAACAAGAAGAATGAACATCTTCACTATTTTGATCAGTATTTCAAACTATCAAATCAGTATTTCAAACTATCGAATCTTAGCGACTTTCTATAGAAAAAAAAAGTTTCTTGTCAATGATTCCTTATTAAGATGTCCTGTTATAATTGTTCTGTTTTTGTATGACTCTATATAAAAATTTGAAACTGCAAGTAGGCATGCTGCAAAATGTTTTATATATTAAAACTAATTGTAAGCCAATACTGAATCTGCAACACGTTTTAGTGTTAAATATTGACCTAGATAAAAAAAATTATCTTATTAGTAAAACAAACAATCAAGGATGAGTTAAAATTAGTATTTCAGACAACAGGAACATTCAACACACGATGTGTACCTAATAGAACCTGTAGAGATTCTAAAATAGTAGTTTGATGATTTTGCTAAGTATAAGTTTATTCCTTGAGAATAAGTTCCACGAAGGCTGTGTCCAAATCGTCTCCAATTTCCCTGTATTTCTCCTTCTCGGCGACCAACTCGTCTAAAAATTTTGTTAATTAATTATTTCCATGATTAACGTATACAATGTTAGCAAACCATCAGCATCAAGGTAAATATATTAATGACATCTTAATTTTGTCACCTTAATTGAATAAGATTGATAATTAATTATGAAGAACTAAAAATTATATTCATATAAGATAATGGTAGATCAAATAAAACGTCGTTGCTAATTAAGTACAAAATTAAATTAATTATCAAAATTTTTCGAATCTATGTAATATTTAACAATTATATTCCATTTATTATAATTATAATATTTCGTAATATTCATAGATACCAAAGAAGTTAAAACATAGCAACAAAATTTATGTGAGAAAAATAATGGTATAAGTTTTGAGAAAAAGATAGCAAATGGAATCGTTTCAGTATCAATAACATAATTCACTTGGTAAGATTCATAAAAAACACCATGCTAATAACAAAAAAAGATTAAAAATATTGAATTATAAACTTAAACAAAAGCACACATAAACATGCATAAATTTTAAGATTTCATGAAACAATAAGGAAAGGTACAGGGATAGAAATTAAAAAACTAAGTTAATTTAAATAATATATTATAAACACACACACAATTATTAGTGTTGTATAAAAAATTATGAAGAAAATGTTCACAACATTTGAATAATTTAAAATTTTACTTATAAATAAATTATAAATGACATGCACAATAATTTGGTAATTTCTTAAATTACTTGATATAAAACAAGGCAAAATGGTGAAAAAAAATATTGCATAAAAGAAAAACTTGCCCATGCAAGTTATATATAACTTTTACATATATATGCCGAATTTTACAAAAATAATTTCTATGAATCTGACGTAACGATTACAAATATTTAAAATAATGGTAATATCTATATTTAAATTCAATACTTTTGGAGACATCAAATTGAATTTATGAATCGGAAACGTCCAGTATTTGAATACAATTCCAATATTCATAAAACAATGTGCTTTTAATCACTTATATAATACAATTACATATAAAACCTAATATAGTTCTTTTTTCAATATTTATAAGTATTTGACGTAATTATTTGGAATGAATACTCATTTGAATTCGAGATACATTTAAGTAGTTTTTTATAATGCATTGCCTTAGCCTTTTATATTCATAGCTGAAAAATATTCCCCTATCGTGGCAGTGATAAATTTTTAGTTTTACACTTTACTATCAGGAATGTTTAATTTATCACGGCATGGAAGTTTTGAAACTAATTTTGCATAAATTTCTACCAAATGTTAAACTTTTATTCATTTTTAAAGGTAATAGATTACTACCAATAGTTGCAATAATAATAATATGAATACCAGTAATGGGTCTACAATTTAGTATTTAGTGAGGGTATAGTTATATAATGAAGTGAAAGACAGACCCATGTGATGTACAATAAAGGCCTTTGATTCAAACTAATTCGATATAAAAATGAAAATATTATTGAAATTGAAAATTCTATGTTATTGAATATGTAAAAAAAAAAACTTAAACCTAACGAGCTAAAAATGGTTAAGCCATCAACAATTAATAGGGAATTATTTATAACTAAATAATAGTGACTAAATTGCTTTCATTAACAATCATAGTAGTATTATCAAAAAAAAAAGTTTGGAAAATTTTGGAATCACATTCTACGCCAAAAAATTTTATAATTTATGAAATAATGGGAAAAATATAATTAATAGCACCAACATACACGCCTATGTTTGAATACTAATAAAAAATAATACCATTGATTATAAGTAATCAAGTTATGTGTCCGAAATCGATTCAGTATAAATATACATTATTTGAACAGAAAGAACTGAACATCACATAATTCTGATCATTTACAATTTTTTCGTTTCAATCGTTAATGTTGTAGTCCGTTGTTATAATTCTTGTAGTGTAAATAAACACATTGATCACTTTATTATATCATTCAAGTGAACATAAGACGTTACATATTTTGAATATCATGCAGAGTAACTTCCATTTCTTCTTGCAATAATTTATTCTTCTCACGTTCAGCAAGTAGATCGTCTGTTGATTTTTTTGTAAAACAATTTGTTAAAGCCAAAACAAAACAAGATTATTTTAAGCAAAACACAAAATAAATTACATCTATAAAAATAAAAAATTAATTTTACTACAACATCAATGTCCAAGACATGTTGCCATGCATCACTTATCTTGGCTTTTACATTATTTGATTGATTCTTCTCAATTATTAAAGAAATAAAATTATTAGAGAAATGAAAATATCATACCTTCCAGCCTGTCGACTTCCTTCTGTAATTTCTGAACGGAACGTTCAGCAAATTCAGCTCTAGCTTCAGCCTAAATTAAATTAAATGAATTAAAAAATAGAAACATTAAAGTAGGGATCAAAAACAATATAACAACATAAAACTGGTTTAAATGATGTGCATCAAAAACACATGCAAGTATAAGTTATTAGTCAAAACAAAGACAATTGTGCAGGCAAACTAACTGAAAACAAAAGCCAAGTAGAATTTGAAACAATACTTCTGTATATATTTATAACTTAGTTTATTATAATTGTAAAAATGTTTGTTTCAATTTATATTTTATTTAATTAAGCTTTATAAAATGATTTAATACTTCATCAGCTCCTCAGATAATCAGAATTCAAAATAAAAAAAAAAATAAAAAAAAAAAAAAAAAATTAATTTTAATTGTTGATTTATGAAATTGGTACAATAACGTTGAAGGTATGTGTTACCTCTTTTAATTGTCCATCTAATATTTTTACTTGACCTTCGAAGCTTTCTTCTCTTTGTGTAGCCTATTATATTTTGTTTGTTAGATGTTAGTCCAAATCACATCGAGCAAAAGACAACACATTGAAAAAAAGGAAAATATATCATTAGTAAAAATAAAAATAAAATTTTAAACTTCTATAGTTATTATCGAAAAATAAATGTTATAATTTTCACGCAAGACATGATCTACTAAAAATAATTACAGATAGTTTTTTTTAAAATACTCCAAGTTTTAATTATGCAGAATTTAAAATCAAATCAGTTCAGAAGAAAATGATCAAATCAATTCAATAAATTAATTTGATCATTATAATACTAAAAAAGTATTATTTTACAAAAATATAGATCATATCTCTTGAGCACACTGTTTTAATACACATAATTAGCATAAAAATGGTATGTTCCATTTTCCATATTATCACGCAAGTGCAACTGCAATCTGGTTAGATCTAAAATAACGCATTTCCAAAAACAACGATTATTATCGTCTCTACCTCCTTTAGACGAGTTGTGAGGGTCTTAATTTGGTTTTTGTACTCCTCCTCACGTTGGTTGGCCTAATTATTTATTAAATTATTAAATAAATAAATGATAATTAATAAAAATAAATAAAAAAATATATGAATGTCTGGATATTTTAAATTTAATAATTACGAAATATCTGCACCTTAATATAATAATTTTAGAACTTATAAAATCTAATAAGCTCATTAAAATGAATTTTACTAAAATTGTGAATAACTTCATCGGCTATAATACATTTTTTAAATATATATATATATATATATATATAGAAAAAAAAGTCTTACCTTTTCTTCTGATACTTCAAGAGATTTCAAGTTGTTACCGACAACGCGAAGTTCTTCTTCAAGTTCTACAATTTTGCTGAAAATTGGAATAAATAGATTAGTGTTGGCCAAGACTTCATTTATTTAATTTCAAAAAGATAGAATATAAAAAATGACTTGAAAAAATAAAATTGTGAATATCTCGAGAAAGTACAATGAAACCTTTTTTAACAGTGAAATAAATTGTAACGGCTTATAATTAGTATTTTGCCTGTAGACAAGTTGCATAAACTTTCCGATAACTGACAAAAATTGAAATCAAAGGAACGTTGCCAAATATTGTTTTTAATATCCATTTAATATTATTATTTAATTCAGCAACGACAGAAATGAATTGTTAATCGAAATATTTTTAATCAAAACATTTTAAAATGCTCGATTCATTTCCAATCGATCGTATCCAAAGAATTTTAGAAATTTAAAAACTAAACCTTTTTAAATTAGACTTAAAATATAATAAAGTTAATAATAAAGTAAAAATTAATAAAGTTGACAAAAACCGAACATCGTTTCTTTATAGTTTATGAAGATAATCTACTAAATTCGCCCTTCTTACAAAAAATATAAACTTAGTCATTCACTCATTACTCAAAAACCCAAGCAAATAAGACTAATCTGATTTACTTTTATGGCAAACAAGACTAACCTTAAGTTGTACGTAATTTTTTTATGTTGAATATTATACACCTTATGTAAACAATTGCAATCAAACATTGTATGATAATGTCTCTTGAATAAACTATATTCGTTAAGCAAAGTTCCACTGTAGTTGTGTACCCAAATAAATTACATGAATATACATTATAAAGATATTAAATGTTAATTCGTTAGTTAGCACAATAAATCAATCAAACCTGTCTCCTTGTTCTGCCCTTTCTTCAGCACGTTCTAAATCTTGCTCCATCATCACTAATTTGCGAGCAACCTGTGAAGCAACACACAACAAACACTACAGCACACGTTTTAAAAAAAATGTTATGTTACTAACAAGCATCATATTATTGTCAAAATATTGTTAACCTAATCTATCTAGCTCATTCTTGTAAAATTTAAAACTAAACACTTATTGTTAATATTGTTAAAAACTTATTGGGTGTCTTTAAAAACCAGACCACAGACAACAGCTTAAGGGTTAAATATGCAAGGCAAAGCTGTACATACAACAACAATAAATTTAAGCAAAAATCTTTGATCTAAATTTAAGCAATAAAAATTTAAATGATTTTTAATTGAAATTGCGTAGACTGTGGCCGGATTTGTAAAAACTATGTTAAAATAGAAAATATAAATAAACCATTAATTTATTAATAAGCATGTATATTATAATTCTCCGCCATGGCTGCACCTGAAAAAAAAAACATTAAAAAACATGCACTACAAAAAAAATCTAGAAAAAGGTTTTATGTCCAATCCAGTTATAATAGTTTTTTTTATACTAAATTGGATTTCTAGATTTTAGATATCATATTAATATCACACGTTATGGTAGTGAAAACGTTTCACTGCAAAATTCGATTTATGTTAAAACATACGATTCTCCTGCTTCGGCGCGCTCCTCAGCTCTTTCCAAATCAGCTTCAACCATGGCCAATTTACGGGCAACCTAGGTCAGAAAATTGTGTTCGTAAGTAATAGACTTGTAAAAAAAATATTTTGAGCACATGCAATCATTCAAAATAGACATTTTTTTATTTAAACAATTCCGCACAAAAATATGACACGTTATTATTCGGACGACACAACATATAAAAAAAGAAAAATTTCTTAATGGTAAGGCATTAAAAGCTTAGACAAATTGAACATTATAAAACATGAAATATATAATAAGTTAAATTTTATGCAAATGCAACTTATTTTAATAAAGCTTGATAATATTAAATTGAAAATGTAACAATTTTAATAGAAACGATATCAGCATTAGATCGATTTTCGACTAATGTTTCGACACATATGAAAAAAGACGAACAGTAAAAATAAACGTTACTACTAAACATAATAAAAGAAAAATCGACATTTAAAAAGCAATATGTATGTGGTAAAATATATACAAGTATGCTCTCATTCGTTCGAACAAGTATGAATCATATATCCAGATAAATAAAAGTTTTAAATATATAATTAGTGATACTAAATACGGGAATTGGTTACGATAAAACTGGTGAACACGTTAGATTGCAATTTATTTTTGTAAAAAAGTAAACTAAAAGTTCATAAAGATCTTACTAATTGATAAAGTTGACAAAAATAATGAGCAATCTAACAAGATTAATCAAACAGAAAACTAAAACAAACACGCAAGTGTTAGTAAATATGTTTGGCAGGTATTAAGGCAACAAGAACATAGAGAGCTCCGTGTTGAGAATAAACACCTCATCGTATTTCTTGTCGGCCTCCTCAGCGCAGAATCGCGCTTCTTTAAGTTGGTTCTCAAGTGCGTCCATGCGCTCTTCCTCGGCGAGGGAACGGTTCTCAAGCACCTTACGGGCGCTACAGGGATATACCAGAAAAATAACAAGGGATGAAAGACATTATCTAACTACAGGATATTACAATTAGAAGGATAGAAAAATCTACGTAGCCATTGTTAACATTCCTAATGTCCAATGCCAATCGGAGTGTTCTGCAAATTTCACGACGCTACTTCAAAATGCTGACGAACCAAACAATTTGTGATCAAAGCTCTTCTACTTTATAAAACGTTTTTCTCTCTTTTATTAATATTGATCGTATTAGTAAAATTTATTTAAGTTTCAAATTAAATTCTAAATCCGTGGTCCAAATATTCTAATTATGATCAAGTCGATCCAACTTCAAGATATCACTTGAATATTATTTTATCATCAAAATTGGTCATGAAAATGTTATGTTGTAGTGTCTACTTGGTCTAGAGAAAAGATAAGGTGTACGTGTGCATGATATAAACCTCGTCATATCTTTTGTCAGCATCGGAAGCCATTAAACGGGCATCCTTCAGCTGTAACTCCAACGCATCCATACGCTCCTCCTCATTCATCGCGCGATTTTCGAGAATCTTACGATTCCTATAGTTTAAAAATTTCAGAAAGCAAAATGATTAATATTTGGAACAATACTTGGAAAAACATATCAATGCATATATAATTCGATCTAGCCAACTTTTGACGATATCCGGAATTTATGAAAACTTTGAATGATAAAATGTACTATTCTTTATATATTTTTCTATTATCTTCTTCTACTAGAAATATGGGATAGTTTGATACGAATGCCAACAAAATCATCTCTATAGACTGATCAAATTTTATATGAATCGATTCATTTTTAAAATAATTGATATCTGAAACTCTGGAAACCTGAAATATTAAAAATGAGTTTAATATATCTCAGGTGATAATAACTTTGGTGTATAATCCAGTATGTTCTTTACATGAAACTTTTAGTTACAAGAACTAATTCACTATACCTCTATAATATAAATAAAAAGACATGTCTCAAAAGCAATATTGGTTTTTTATTCAATATAATATATAATGTATATTTATCTATACATACATAAATAAAAATATCAATGATACATAAACAAACTTAAAAAAATAA